GTTTCACTTTGGATATTTTCTATTTTTTTTTTAAAGATTTTATTTATTTATTTCACAGAGAGAGAGAGAGATAGCGAGAGCAGGAACACAAGCAGGGGGAGTGCGAGAGGGAGAAGCAGGCTTCCCGCAGAGCAGGGAGCCCGATGCGGGGCTCGATTCCCAGTACCCTGGGATCATGACCTGAGCCGAAGGCAGACGCCTAACGACCAAGCCACCCAGACGCCCCGGATATTTTTTATTTTTATATCATCAAGTTCACTAGTTTTTTTTTTTCTTTTGCAATGTCTAATTTGCTATTATTCCCATTTACTGAAAATTTTAATTTCAGATATTTTATTTTTCATCCCTAGATTTTCCAGTTGGTCTTGTTTATGCCTTCAATTTCTCTCCTCATTGTGCTCGTATTTTCCTTTAAATACATTAACATAGTTATACTGGCTATTCTAATGTCCTTGCCCTTGCTGCTAATTCCATCTCTGCCATTTGTGGGCTTGTTTCTAATGACTGATTTTTTTCTGGTTATGGGTCACATTTTCCCGCTTCTTGGTATGTCTAGTAGCTTTTTATTGGAAGGTGAACACTGTGAATTTCATATTGTTAATTGTCTAGATTTTGTTTTGTTTTCCTCTACAGAAAACGGGATAGTTCTGTTGAGATTAGTTACTTCTGTTTCAATTTGATCCTTTTGAGGCTTGTTTTAAAATTGTTAGGGTGGGTCTAGCGCAACCTCTAGTGTAGTCTAGATCCTCTGGGATCTCCACTGAATGCCCTAAGAGACTGACAAAGACCCTCCATGGGCTGGTGGGAACTTCCCATCTTCAAATGATTCCTGGCCCTATGTAAGCTGTGGCAACCAGTTAACTGACAGGTCCCCAGTCGTCCTTTGCCTTCCTTCATGGAATTTAACCCTATGGGTGCCTTAGCAGCCGGCAGAATTAAGGGGACTCCAGTGCACAATTCTGAACTCTTTTCCTACGTAGCTCTTTCCTCTCTAGAACTCTACCCCACAATTCCAGACACTTTAGACTCTCTGAGTTCCAATTTCTGTCTCATATGAGCAAGGCTACCATACTTGGAGATTCTCCTCTATCCTCTCTAGTCCAGAAAGTGCCTCCAAATAAAAAGGAATTGCAGGACTCACCTCAGTTGTTTCCTCTTTCTCATTGATCACAGTCCTGCACCGTGTCCAATGTCTAAGAAGAGGGGTTGTGTATGTTTTGTACAGTTTTCAATTGTTTAAGGAAGGAGCATAAGTCCAGCCCCTCTTACTCTATCTCGGCTGGAAGCCAATTTGGGACAGTCAAGTTTGGGAAATTTAGAAAGTCCTATGAATGGACAGAACATAGCAGCAATCTTTCTAGGTAGCTGGTAACTGTAAGAATGTTTTCTCACTGAATCTCCCTCATCTCTAGAAAAGCTGCCTGTGACTATGGGTATGTGTGTACAGGGCTATTGACTAGCCATTCTTCACTTTAAGGTGTATAAGTAGAGAGCCACACTTTAGGCTAAGGAGCCCTCCAAAAATAAATAAATAAATAAAATAACCAGGGCAAGTATTATTATGAGAATAATGCCAGAATAAGAACCTTACTCTTGGAGCCCTAATTTTCCTTAGATAGATCTTCCAGATGTTTAGAGGCAAGATCTTTTATTTTTTATCTGGGGGTAAAATTCTGGGCTGCCCAAACTGGTAAAGTACTGAGAATAGGAAGGAGGTAGGAGAAAAAAGAAATAGACTGAAAAAGTCTTTCCTCAACATACTTTAAATTAAATGTTTCTAGCTCTATTCTTACTTTTTATTTATTTTTTACTAATTTATTTATTTTTAGTCTATTGTATTTTTTTGAAACTTCTAACTCTCTGATGATCCCCTTATTCATTTTTCTGGGCTCATTATTTTAGTATTATGTTTTTAGTGTCAGAGAAAGAAAGCCAGCAAATAAATGTGTTCTGCCTGCCAGTTTTAAGTGGAATCCCCTAATATATTAGTATTGTAATTATGTTATAAATAGCCTCATAGTATATTTTTGGTTGGGACAAATATCCTCTTCAAAATAAAATTTAGAAGTAGCTAGTCAAGGGCGCCTGGGTGGCTCAGTTGTTTAAGCGACTGCCTTTGGCTCAGGTCATGATCCTGGAGTCCCGGGATCGAGTCCCGCATCGGGCTCCCCGCTCGGTGGGGAGTCTGCTTCTCCCTCTGACCCTTCCCCCCTCTCATGCTCTCTCTCATTCTCTCTCTCAAATAAATAAATAAAATCTTAAAAAAAAAAAAAAGAAGTAGCTAGTCAAGTTTTATTATTTTTAATTCTGTAGAGATTTTTATTGAATTGCATTGAATCTACTGATGTAGTAAAGAGAAATAGCATATTTACAATATTGAGTCTCCCTAGAACATGGCATATTGTTCAGGCTGTTCTTTAAATTTTCATTTTAACCCTAAGTTTCCTTAGCTTTTTTCTACTGTACATAGAATCGTTTCACACTTCCTATTTTTTAAAAACTATCTTTTTTTGCAGATAACTATATAGACATCTTGTTAATTGGACTATTTTATTATTTCTAATATTGCAACAGTTTCTTTTTACATTGTAGGTAGGTAACTATATCACCAGAAAGGAATAATGTCGTATTTCTTTTTGTAACCTTTATTCCCCTCAGGGTTTTTTCTTGTCTTACTGCATTAACTGTATTTTCTAAAGCACAGCGTTAAGAGTTGTTGATGGCTCTAGCTTAATGTTTGTTATGATTCTGGTAGATATCCTTTATAAAAATTAAGAAAGGTTCTTCCTAATCCTCATGTCCTAAGAGGTTTTAAGTGGAAAGGGTATTTAATTTTGTCAAATGGCTTTCCGGAATCTACTGGGGGGACATGTATTTTTTCCATTTTAATATATTACTTAAGCTAATTATAATAGATCCACTAATGTTAAGCTATTGTAGTAGTCATAATCAATCTTATTTTATGATCGTTTAAAATGTGGATTTATTGGCTGATACTTGATTTTGAGGTTTTTTTAATGAGTTAGAAATATTATTTTCCTTTTTAGCTATCCTTGTCCAGTTATGCTAGCCTCATAAAATAAATTGAAACTCTTTTCATATTTTTCTATGATCAAGACAATTTAAATAACAAAAGGCTGGGGCACTTGGGTGGCTCAGTCGGTTAAGTGTCCGACCCTTGATTTCAGCTCAGGTCATGATCTCAGGGTGGTGAGATGGAGCCCCGAGTGGGGCTCCATGCTCAGCGCAGTGTCTGCTTGAGATTCTCTCCCTCTGCCTTTGTCTCCCCTCCCCCATTGCCCTTCCCCTCCTCCTACTCACACACATGCACTCTCTAAATAAATAAGTAAAATCTTAAAAAGAAAAGAAAGAAAAAAGAAAAAGAAAATAATCAATGGATATCATAAATAGTTTATGCCCCTTAAATCAAGTGTGTGTGCTCCTCTATTATCACTTCAAATATCTTAGTTTTTCTACAGGCTTCACTATTCCTGTTAGTGGTTTCTGCATTTGCTTTTCTGTAAATTGACACTATGTATTTATGTAAACTCTAAATAAGTTCTGCCAATTGTCATAGTGCTTCTTATGCCCTCCAGTAAGGCATTAGATGAGCATTCCCATCTATGAATATTATATGAAGTGTGTGTTGTTATTAGAGGCACATCAATAAAAATTAATTATAGCTAATGAAGGCATAAGTATAAATGAGCAATTACTTAAATTTTAATAAAATCTGAAAATATAAACCTCATCTCAAAAGAATGCATACATTTATAAGGCTTATTTAGTAACACTTATCAATATATATGACTTTTATTCAGTTATGTGCACCTGGTAAAATTATTCCTAAAGACAAACGTATTCCCTTTGGATCACATTATATCCTTGATAATATCTTTAAGATGTTCATTCCCACACTGTCCTTTGCACAGGAAATAAAGATTTTAAATATTCTTTTAGAAAAAAGTAAATAGTATGAGATATAAAAAACATATATTTTATATATATATTACTATATTTTACAGTAGTAAAAATTCTGTGTACCATCTCTAATCCTTTTAAAATCCAGATACATCTGAATTGACATAGTTTCCCCCACCCCCCCCCAAAAAAGAAAGCAAGTTGGAAAGAAGAGTACTGCCGTCTCTATACATTCTGATTTCCAGCTCTGAGAAGCCTAGAATAGCAAAGGGACAAGTACTAAGGAAGTCACCATGGATCAAAAATAACTTCCCCAATATATTACATTAATAGATATTATAAATTTCCCTTTTTAAATCCTACCACCACCACCCCCAACCGAATAAGGACTGTTTGATAAAGACCTCGCTGTGAATTACAGTAATGTGTTTAAATCCTATCTTTTAAGAACAGATATGTTTTAAAGTGGTAGGACAAATGAAAAAGAGATAATCTGGGAACAAGAGAATAAGACTTAGAGGGGGATGTTCCAGGAGAGGCAGCTTTGGACAGCTACAAATGTGCGTAAGAGGACACCAAAGATGAATTCCATCCATCTTGTAACTTTGTGTTTTTGTAAGATACTCAACTAAAAAGGCATTCCCCATTCTCCCTTCCTCCAACTCATCCTGCGGCTGCCATTGGCTAATAGGAAGCTTTACACAGGCCATAAGTAGAAGGCATGAGACCACATAAATGGAGACATTTGCCTCACTCTATAATGTGCATACATGAATCTATGCAGTATAAGTGGATCCATATTTCTCTTTGATGTTAAGAATGCTTTAATGGGCTACGACACTTGGATAAGCTATCAATCCAATTTTCAAATACCTCTAAGAAGAAACACAAGGTAAGAACTTAATGTGCTGTTTCTATCCCTCCAGCCCCAGCCTTCACTCTGGCTCTCTGAGCCTGAAATTCTTCAACATTAGGAGTAAGCTTTCAAATGATAGACAGCACTTCAGGGTTTTATGAAATGTCTAAATATTATTTTCTCCCCAGAACAGAGATCTAAACAAAGATCAACAACCATATACTAAATTATTAGCAAATACTGTTTATTCATTAAGTAATAGTACTAAAACAAGGAAGAATATTAGAGTTGCAGGCTTAAACATCTTTTAAATGTTTGAGATATGTTCCACATCTTATGTTGTATGCAAATAATTAGCACTCCATAATGAATTACCGGTAGTCACAACCTAGAAAGTTACTTGTCTTCCAAATGCTAATAGGACTGTACTGAAGCAGTCTTGTAGTTCTTCATATTTAGTGCCCTAAAATTGGAAAATAAATGCACATTTAATTTTTTAGGTGCAGGTAATATATCTGTACATTCTTGTAAAAAAGTTTTGCAATAAAAAAACTAATCATCCAAAACCAAATTCTTTCACCAGATTAAAAAGCATCACTTAAAATATAATTTAAGAAGGAAAAATTGGTTTGGGGGGACCAATTTTAAATACCACCCAGAGGTTTATTAGTTTTACAATTAGGGTAAGGGGTGCTTGGGTGGCTCAGTCAGTTGAGCATCTGACTTAATTTTGGCTGGTCATATAAACTTGGGGTTGTGGGATGGAGCCCTGCATCAAGGCTCTATCTTTGGTGCAGTCTGCTTGGGATTCTCTCTCTCCCTTTGCCCTTTCCCCTATTTGCATACTTTCTCTCTAAAATAAATAAGTAAGTAAAAGCTTTAAATAAATAAATAAAATTGGGGTAAAAGAAGCTATAACTTGCTTTAGGATAATATTTGCTATAATATAAAAAGTATCAATAAACTCAAAATTACTAAACAGAAGATAAACTTCTGATTATCCAAAAGAGCAATCAGTTATTCTTTTCTCTGCTACAAACGTATATATCATAGAACTTTCTCAGGTCTGTTTTCTGGATAGAAAAGAACACTCAGAAAAGCTGAAACTACCCCCTCCCCCTCACCCCCCCCAAAAATCCCATCTGTTTGAGGGTGAGTGTGGTGAAGAAGATTCTAATTTTACTCTCTGTTCTATATTACACAGATAGAATTGGGCAGAGTACTGATAGATAAGGAGCTTGCCAAAGGATGAAGGTCAAAGGACATGAAAAGAAGACTCCATATATTCCCATTTCCACCAACTAGCCCCCTTAGAATATTATACCTTTAGACAACAGTTAAATTACATAAATAATGATGAGCAGTCTTATTTTGGGGACAGGATAGTAAGATTGGTATTATAATCACTGTTCACAAGTGATACAGATGTACTGAGATGTTTTAATAAAAGAAAAGAATGTGAATTTGGTGTCCTTTACCCAATCTAGTGTATGATTACACTGAAGTTAGAAATTCATAAATTAGCTTAATTGGTATTAAAACTTTTTCAATGAATAGAAAGGTAATCAAATGAATTCTTCCACTTATTCATGATCTTGCACACACACAAAAAAGGAATGATGGATTATCCTTTTCTAATTTACGTTCTGAACTCCTGAGAACTTCTTTTCAGTTTTGAGAGTACTCAAACGTTGGGCAAAATTGAACTTTTAAAATACTTTAGCAATATACTTTCCTTCAAAGTACTATAAAATGATGTTAATACCTTTTTTAACTAACCAAAATATTTCCTAGAAGATTTCATAAAAGATTATTTAAAACTTAAGGAGAGAAGTCTCAAATGTCATCAGAATTCTTCACAATTACTGAGAGCCTGGAGCCCACATAAAGATAATAATTTAACAAAGATCAAAAACACCCTTTGAGAAACAAACAATGTTAACCTGTACTGCTAACTGAACTATAAGTATCTAAACAGTCTCAAACAACTCATAATAAGATACTACAGATTTGCTTTAAAAATTATGAACAGAATAGTTTGTACAGATAAATTAAGCTTTTTCAATTAGAAATTTCAGAACATGGGAAAGAACTTCTACAAGGAAGAGCTTCTATATAAAAGGAGCTGGGATTTTCAAAGATACCCAGATTTGTCATTGTTTAAAGTATGTATAAATAGGAGATATTATTTTGAAGGGATCAAAAAGTCAAAAACAATTTTTCTTAGTTTACAGGCTAAGGTAACATATTACTACCTTTTGACATTTAAGGTCATTATACTTTCAATTGGTCTGCTCTTTGGTCCACTTGGTGGGTGGAAAATCTTAGCACCTTTGCTGGAAATCTGGTTTGCCAATTTAACCACATAAGGGTCAGCAGAGTGTGAAGGGTAAGGGTCAAATGTTCCTGCCTTCATTCCACCAGCCTACAAATAAAAATGAGACAATTTAATGTAGTTTTTTAAAATGCTTCTAACAAAATTAGATTGTGAAGAAGTTCATACATATTTGTGTATTGTCTATAGAGTTGGTTTTACATTTAAAGAAAGTTGTCTATACAGACATACCTCAGAGATATTGTGGGTGCAGTTCAAGACAATTGCAATAAAGTGAATATCACAAGTTAAATGATTTTTTTGGTTTCCCAGTACATATAAAAGTTATATTTACACTGTGTTGTAGTCTATTAACTGTGTAATAGCATTGTGTCTAAGAAAACAATGTACATACCTTAATTTAAAAATGCTTTACTGCTAAAAAAAAAAAAAATACTAAACATCATTTGAGCTTTCAGTTAATCATACTCTTTTTGCTGATGGGAAGTTCTTGCCTTGATGTTAATGGATGCTTACTGACCAGGTGGTGACTAATGAAAGTCAGTGTGGCTGTGGCAATTTCTTAAAATAAGACAATGAAGTTTGCCATATTGATTGACTCTTCCTCTCATGAATGATTTCCCTGTAGCATGCAATGCTGTTTGACAATGTTTTACCCACAGTAGAACTTCTTTCAAATTGGAGTTGATCCTCTCAAACTCTGCTGCTGCTTTATCAACTAAGTTTATGTAATATTCTAAATCCTTCATTGTCATTTCAACAATCTTCACAGCATCTTCATCAGGAGTAGATTCCATCTCAAGAAACCCCTTTCTTTGCTCCGACATAAGAAGCAACCACTCATCCCTTAAACTTTTATCATGAGATTGTAGCAGGTCAGTCCCATCTGCAGGCTCCGAATTCGTTTTCTTGCTGTTTCCACCACATCTGCAGTTACTTCCTCCACTGAAGTGTGAACCCCTCAAAGTCACCCATGAAGGTTGGAATCAACTTCCAAACTGTTCATGCTGATATTCTGACCTCTTCCCATGAATCACAGATATTCTTAATAGCATCTAGAATAGTGAATCCTTTCCAGAAGGTTTTGAAGTGGCTTTGCCCAGATCCATCAGAGGAGTCACCATCTACGGCAGCTATAGCCTTATGATATGTATTTCTTAAATAATAAGACTTGAAAGTTGATATTCCATGGTCCATGGGCTGCGGAACAGATGTGTTATCAGGCATGAAAACAACATTAATCTCATTTTACATCACCATCAGAGCTCTTGGGTGACCAGATGCATTGTCAATAAACAGCAATATTTTGAGAGGAATCTTTTTTTTTCTGAGCAGTAGGTCTCAACAGTGGGTTTAAAATATTCAGTAAACCATGTCATAAACAGATGTGCTTTCATCTAGGCTTTGTTGTTCCCTTTACAGAACACAGACAGAGTTGATTTATCATAATTCTTAAGGGCCCTACAAGTTTGGTTATGGTAAATGAGCACTGGCTTCAACTTAAAGTCACCAGCTGCACTGGCCCCTAACAAGAGAGCCAGACTGTCCTTTGTAGCGTTGAAGCCAGGCAGTGATCTCTCCTCTCTAGCTATTAAAGTCCTAGATGGTATCTTCTTCCAATAAAGGGCTGTTTCATCTATATTAAAAACCTGTTGTTTAGTGTAGCCACCGTCATGAATTCTCTTAGCTAGGTCTTCTTAGCTGTAACTTGCTGCAGCTTGCATATCAGCACTTGTTGCTTTACCTTACACTTTTATGTTATGGAGATGGCTTCCTTCCTTAAACCTCATGGACAAACTTCAGCTAGCTTCCAACTCTTCTTCAGCTTCTTTACTTCTCTCAGCCTTCATAGAAGAGAGTTAGGGCCTTGCTTGGGCATAAGGAAATGTTGCGGCAGGCTTGATCTAACCACTAAAACTTTCTCCATCAGCAAGAAGCCTATTTTGCTTTCTTATCATTTATGTGTTCACTGGAGTAGCACTTTTAATTTCCTTCAAGAACTTTGCCTTTGCATTCACAACCTGAGTAACTGTTTGGCGCAAGATGCCAAGCTTTCAGCCTATCTCTGTTTTTGACATGCCTTCCTCGTGGAGCTTAATCATTTCTAGCATCTGCTTTAAATTGAGACATGTGGGGCACCTGGGTGGCTCGGTCCATTAAGCTTCCGACTCTTGATTTTGGCTCAGGTCATAATCTCAGGGTCGTGAGATTGAGCCGCTGTAGGGCTCTACACTCAGCAGGCAGTCTGCTTGAGATTCTCTCTCTCCCTCTCCCTCTGGCCCTCCTCTCCCCACCTCTGTCTCTTTCTCCCTCTCTCTAAAAAAAAAATAACAATAAAGTGACACATGCAACTCCTCCTTTCACATGAACACTTAGAGGCTATTGTAGGGTTATTAATTGGCCTAATCTCAATACTGCTGTTTCTCAGGAAAGAGGGAGGCCCAAGGGGGAATGGCCAGTCCATGGAGCAGTCAGAATACATGACATTGATCAATTAAGTTTGCCGTCTTACATGGGTGGTGTTCATGTCACCCCTCAAACAATTAAAATAGTAACAGCAAAGATCACACTGATCACAGATCACCATAACAAATAATAATAATAAAGAAGTTTGAAATATTGCAAGAAGTATTAAAATGTGACACAGAGACACAAAGTGAGCAAATACTGTTGGAAAAATGGCGCCATTAGACTTGCTCAAAACAGGATTGCCACAAACCTTCAATTTGTAAAAAAACACAGTATCTGTTAAGCACAATAAAGCAAAGCCCAATAAAACTAAGTACGCCTGTACTGTTCAAATACCAGCAGTCTCCCTGCTGCCAATTTTATGGGGCAAGACACTGTAATTTACAAAAGTTCTCTATTAAAATGCAAATGTTTATAAGAAAGTAATATTCCAAAGTCTTGTCAAGTATTAATATTTTAGTAAGAGTTTACCAGATCAAGCTATCATCTAGTTAAGGGATGAACCTATTACTGAGGGAATAAGACTTAGGTCAAATATATTTTGATACAGAAAGGAGTTGGGGCTCAAAACCAGAGGATGCTCAGAGAAAAGGCCAAAGGTAAGATCTGTCCAACTGGGAGGCTGACATAACATGAGTTTATTAAATATCAGTCAATGATATTTGGTCAACATACTAAAAAAGATACTAAAGATACTAAAAATAAAAATTTTTAAAAATAAGGAATAGCACAGAGAAACAGAAGGTGAGAAGAAAACGTGATCTACTTTATACTGTTATAGTCTATTAAGAGAAGTCAATCAAAATTATTTTTTGACCTGTACACAAAACAAATAATTGCTTTGACTTTTTAAGCTGATTTGCCACAATTTTAATCTTTACATTATATGTAGTTACCAAGAAAATTCTATAGAATTATAACTCATTTAAGTAGGCATTCTTTATCTTACAGTATCTAAGCCAAATATAAATGAAAATTAAGACATAATTGTAATATTTCAAGTTTTCCAGATTGAGGACACATAGATCCTTTTGAATCTATGCTAACATCTACTTATAACAAAATAAAACAAAGCATACAAAAAAAACGTACAGACCAGTTACACTTAAAATTATTGATGCAAAAAATACTTTAAAAATTAACAAATAAGGTAAACTAGTACACTTAAAGATTAATACAACATGGCCAAGTGGGATTCATCCCAAGAAATCTATTATTATTATTCACCTTATAACAACTCAGAGAGAAAAAAATATATAGTCTAAGTAGATTACACCAAAACATTCAATATAATTCTACATACATTCCTGATTTATCCCTATTTTTGGCATCTATAAATATGAAACACTACAGTAAATTCAAGTATTTCAGTAAATTTGAGATTAAGGCAAAAGATGGCCACTGTTGCTAACCTAAGCTACTGCACAAGAACATGGCTTCAGAGCTATAAATACTGGAAAGGAGGGAGCAAAATTATTTGCAGAGAATGTAATCATATATCTGAAAATCTAAAGAGAATCAAGATAATACCCATTAGAACATAAGAAAACTTAATGAAATGGCCAATTATCAAATGTTTTTATAAAGATAAATTATATAAGGGAATATATGATGGGGGAAAAAGCTGTTGACCAGAGCCTTAAAATAAATAGAAATAAAATACAAGATATATAAACCTGTGTGAAGTAAAATATAGAATCCTACAAGGTAACTAAAAGTTTTTATAAGTAGTTTATTTCTAGATCAGAAGATTCAAATCATAAATAGGCTAATACATCCAAAAATCTGAAGATTTAACTTTTTAACAAAATACCAAATATCTTTCTCCCCAGAGCTTTAGAAAATAATTTCAAAGTTCTACAGAATAAATATGGGCAAATAGCCAATGTAATTTTTTTAAAGAGTAACAAGAAATTAGACCATCCCAAATTAAAATGTCATAGTAATTAAAAGCTTGGTATAGGTAGAAATAAACATCAAATAAAATGGAAATTGAAGGGGAAAAATGGGAGTTTTGATTTGACAATTCAATTTCAAAGCAGTGGTATTAAAAATAATTCTATCAGTGACATTAGGAACAATTGGCTTTTTAAAAAACCAATTTTCTTGAAGTCTAATTCACGTACAATAAACTGCACCAACTTAAAGTTTACAATTCTATGACTTTTGAGAGCTGTATATACCGTTGAAACCATGATTGCAATCAAGATATAGAGCACATCTTCCCTCAAAGTTTCATCCTACCTTAAAAACTGGATTTTGAGGGGCAGCTGGGTGGCTCAGTCGGCTAAGCATCTGCCTTCAGCTCAGGTCGTGATCCCAGGGTCCTGGGATGGAGCTGAGCTCCTCCTTGCCCCTCTGCCCCTCCCTCAGCTTGTGCACATGCGCTTGAGCGCACGCTCTCTCTCTCTCCTCTCTCTCAAATAAATAAATAAAATCTCTGAGGGAAAAACCTGGATTTTGAGAAAGATAAAACCTGAACCCTCACCTTGCTCATGTCAAAATACATTTCAAATGAAGATTTAAATGCAAAAGTTTAAGACTAATAGAAGAAATCAAGAATGTATATTTTTATAATAGTGGTGGTAAAGAAAGTCATTCTGAGAATGACATAAAACTCAGCATAAAGAATTGATAAATTTGACTACAAATTTATTAAATTTCTGGATAGCACAAAATACCGTAACTAAAGTCAAAGATTCAACAGACTAAAGAAATTATTTTCAACACAAATGACAAAAGAATATCATTAATATATTAAAAGATCTTAAAAATCAATATGAAAAAGACAAATATCCTAATAGAAAATCTGCAGGGAAAATGAATAGGCAATGCACAAAAGACTCAAAGTATGAACTAAGGTTTATAAACAATAAGAAGCATTTTATTTTTATTCACACTTGTAAACCTCAGCAGAGTAGGAGAGGGTTCATTTTAATCACCATTTCAAAAACTAAAAGATGGTCTGGCTTTTCATGGTTCTGTGAATAACTATGCCTAAGATCTAGAGAGGCACCGAGAAAATCCATTGTAAACTCAAATACACTTAAAGTGATTAGTAATTATTTCATTTCAAGAGCTCCATTATTCCCTACACTAGCCAGGCTTTGTGACTTTTCGTAATTTTGTTAAAATAAATTTCACAATTCTTACTGTGAATAATAAGAATGTGAATAATAAACAGAGGTTTATTATTTACATGGCTAATAAAATGATGTGACAGAAAAAAAACAATTCTTTATAATGTGTAATAATTTTTAATTCTAAAATTTTTAGCTTACCTTTTTACCAGGAGAAGAGGGCTTAAAGGGGTGTGCAAGTAATTCTTTCTTCTCTGTTTTTTTAATTGGTGGTAAAGACTTCTCAAACGAATAAGGATTGATATCAAAATATTCCCTTGGGTAAAGGTTTAACTTGAAAGGTGTTCCTTTAACTAAACGATGGTGTTCTTCATTCTCCTTCTGTAAATCAGAGTTTGAAATTACATAACATAAATTATTCAAATTAGAGGTAACAGTTAAATTTTCTTTTATATTTTAACACAAGCATGTAGATTTTTAAAATATATACCACTAGGTTCACCTCTCTAAAACATTCAGTTGTTATTTTGTTTCTATGATACAAAAGAGATCTCCTCTTCCACACCACAGTGGTAAGGATAATTTAACCATTCCATTTATCCTTTGGGGCAGTGTGTCTCAAATTTTAGTTTTCATCGGAATCCCTTGATAATTTATTTGAAATACATATTACAAGCTCTTCTCTCAGAGATTTCTAATCCTCTTGGTTTGCTAGATGGCCCCAAAATCTGTAGTTTTATCAGTCACCCCAAGTGATGCTGATACAGGTTACCATAAAGCAAAGCTTTAAAGATTACCTTTTGCTAGAGTATGGTCACCTTTTACTAGAATATTGTGTTTGTTTTGCCAACCCCTGCCCTAGAGTATTCAGTTGAGTACAAATCAGCGCATATATGTGAGTAAGCTACTCAAAGCCAAAAAAAGAATGGCCTAAAAAGACTAGAAGTAACAGTGTCTGGCTCTTACCACAGGGCTGGCAAGAGTTCCAATTCCATCAGCTATATTGGAGAACATGACTCCCAGGGCACTGGGTAGAGCACACAGAAAGGGGTGACCTCAGTAGCAGGGATAATTAGCCCTAGATTGAGCATTGCTCCTGTCCCACTTAACAAACCTTAAAAATGAGACCTGAAAAAAAATCAAACTGTTTCCAAGTCATTTCACTGCACCCCACAACAAAGCCCAAGAATTTTTATAATACAAAAAAATATACAGCACTCAACAAAGTAAATGTCACAGTGCCTGACATCCAATCAAAAATCACTAATAATACAAAGTAGGAAAATATGACCTCTACCAAGAAGAAAAATCAGGGGCGCCTGGGTGGCTCAGTTGGTTAAGCGACTGCCTTCAGCTCAGGTCATGATCCAGGAGTCCCTGGATCGAGTCCCGCATCAGGCTCCCTGCTCGGCGGGGAGTCTGCTTCTCCCTCTGACCCTCCCCCCTCTCATGTGCTCTCTCTCTCTCATTCTCTCTCTCTCTCATTCTCTCTGTCTCAAATAAATAAATAAATAAAAATCTTTAAAAAAAAAGACGAAAAATCAGTAATTCAAAATCAACCAAGAACTAACATAGATGTCAGAATTAGCAGAGAAGGAAATAGAAACAATAATTAAACTGTACTTTATATGCTCATAAAGCTGCATAGAGACATGTAAGATATTAAAAAAAAAAACACTCAAGTAGAACTTCTGGAGAGCAAAAGCACAATGTGTGAGATTAGAAATACAAAGGATGGCGTTAATAGCATATTGGACCTTGCAGAAGAACAGATTAGTGACCTTAAGGACCTAAAAAAGGAAACAATTCAAAATGAAATACAGAGAAGGAAAAAAGAGAACTAAAAAAAAAAAAAGCAAACAGAGCACTGATAAACTGTGGGACAATTTCAAGAGATCTAATGCATATATAATAGGAGTCCCTGAAGGAGAGGAGAAAGATAGAACAGAAAAATTAACTGAAGAAATAAATAATAGCTGAAAATATTCCAACTTTGATGAAAACTATAAACCCACAGATCCAAGAAGCTCAATAAACCCCAAGAACAAGAAGCAAGATGAAAACACCACCAAACACATCACAATCAAATTGCTTAAATGAGTAACATAGAAAATCCTAAAAGTAGCTAGAGAAAAAAGGACAGTAAGTACATATAGAAGAACAGAAATCAGCATGACAGCAGATTTCTTGTCAGAAACAATCAAGCAAGAATGCAGTGGAGTAATCTCTTTAAAATTCTAAAAAAATATATAAAATTTCTGACTTACAAATAATAAGTTTTGAAAATAAGAGCAGAACTTTACTATTAGGAGAGAAAAGTATTTTATGCACATAAAGTTTAGGATAAAAGACTAATTACTGGGGCACCTGGAGGGCTCAGTTGGTGAGGTGTCTGCCTTCAGCTCAGGTCATGATCCCAGGGGCCTGTCAGGCTCCCTGCTCAGTGGGGAGTCTGCTTATCCCCTTTCCCCATCCCCCTGCTCATGCTCTCTCTCTCTTTCTCTCTCAAATACATAAATAACATCTTTTTTTAAAAAAAGACTAATGACTGAGTCACCGATAAAACTGTCTTGTGTGTATTTATATGTTATGTGTTATTACTACTATTCCTACAGATGAAAAGTGGCTTATACATAATTTTGTAATAATCCATACATAGAAACAAAGACGCTTATTAAATGACCAAGGTTTCTGCCCAATTTAATAGAAAACTTTTCCTGAGTTTGGACACACCCCTTTGCAAAAATGGCTACTACCCTTCTATCTCGTGGCCCCGCTGCTGCTTAAAGTTACCACGGCAAAATTGTTGAAGACTGCATGCCTGAAACTAATAAAATGCTTGCCATTTAAGTTCCATTGCTTAATGTCCAAACAAACTTGACTTTCATTAATGCCAGTTTCCTTTAAGTTATACTGAAATTGTTAAATTATGTTGATACTGCTCCAAAATTTATAAGGTTTCCTCTACTCATTCCCATGTAGGCTTTGTCTATATAAGTGACTATGTTTCATTCAAAGTCAAATATTATACAAAATGAGTGTAGAGGATATACCAGTACATTTAGCTTTTATATCTGTCATTTAATAGAGTACTTTCCTCTCCTCCTACCACTCTCTTCTGTACGTATTCATCCATTCTGTACCTTCCACCTTCTCCTTTCTCCCTATCACTCCTGCATTCCATTCGTTGATCATAATGGCTTGATTAGGCCAAAGGTACTACCACTACTGTCTTAGCCACAAGATATTAGGGTGTGGTGGGAATATAGCTAAGGCCTAGGACATGACTCTTCTACTTAAAATAGGACATAGCTGATCAGGCCAAGTTAACAGAAGCCTCACAGCTATTTGAGAGAGATATAAGGTACATGTGGTAAACTATAGCAGGAGAGAAAAGCTCACCCTGGGAAGAGGTGAGAAGATCTACAGCAAGATATGGAAATCTAGTATCAAAAAGGTAAAATTATCACAATTCATTAACATCAGTCTACCATTGCCCTAGTAATACAAATACTGATAAAATAAAACAATCCATAATCAGATCACAAATGAATTCTCCAGGTCAACTAAAAGAAAGATTGAAGAAAGTTACAATAGATTATTTTACCTTATAATTTAGTTTGGGTGCATCGTAGAAATCAGCAGAGTGTGAAAACTGTTTACCTATGGTAATATTTGCATAGCTAAGGAAGGAAATTAAGTAATGGTGATTTCAGGATTCAGAAATTTTAAATTTTATTTTTTTAAGTTTAAAATAAGTGATATGAAAGTATGAAAAATATCTTACCCATATCCAGTTCCTTTCTTTCCTGGGTTTGTATATAAATTCTTTCCAGGTGCCTCATATTTTTCTCTGGGTTTTGACTGTGCACTGAAGAATGGCACGGGACCACCTAATGTTCCATAGTAGCTTCCTAAACCACATCTTAAATAGTTTTTAAAAAAGGAGGCAAAATAATACAGCAAATTTTGTGTTATACATATTTGATCACAATTTATAAAAAATGACTGAAAAAGGAACAAAATACATGCAATGGAATTGACTTGCCTAACTTTAGTAAGAAAAAAGCAACCAATTTTTTTAGTTCTTAATCTAATTTCCCCCATTTTCCAAAGTCACAAATTTTCAGATGAGATAATGTTTTTAATTTTTTATGCTTATTTTAAATGTTCCACATAAACAAAATTTCATAATCCATAGGCAGTGATAATAGTTTCCATTAATTCAGAAGACTGCAGTTTTACTAACCTCAAAAAAAAAAACAGCACAATTAAGAACAAAATTGGCCTTCAGCCAATCCTCATCCATCATAAATTCTACAGAGTCAGCATTACAGAGTTTTGTTTTATGTCATTGCTCTCTATTTATGTAATAAATATATGCAAATACATTTGTTTGAAAACCTTGAAAAAACTGCATTAACGTCGTATCACAAAGCTCAGCTATATAATATAATGTAACAGACTATATGATTTTGTTTAGTGGTTTAAAGGCAAGAAAAAAAAATGAACCTTCACATTGACAACTGTCACAACTAAAATATTGTTAAACTCCATTCATGTATCTTCACAATGATTTTTAAATAACATGTCTTGATAAATTACCTTCTTTATCAAAAAAAGGCTTCTCCTAATTTAATAATTTTTATGTATACTTTTTTAAAGTTTTTACAAAGCAGAAAAAAGAGTAAAGGGCACAGATGACCCAAGGCAGTTTTTTCAAGGTTTTCAAACAAATGTATTTGCATTATTTAGTTAGCTTTTATTACATAAATAGAGAGCAATGACATAATCAAAACTTTAATGAGATGAGGATCTACTTAATCAAAACTCCCTGTTAACTTATATCACCCAATATAACTGTCTCCACCTAAGACAAGTTCATCCTAAAAATCATATTTTAAAAAATGAATCATACTTAAGTCCTCCAGAGAAAGACTCAATTTGGGCTAGAGGAGAGAAATGGGCAGGAGATGTATTTATGACTTTTCCCCCAAACACTTACGGCTTTTTATCTCCACTACTAGGGAGGAAGGCTTTGCCTAGATTTTTTTTTGCTTCTTCCATCATATGCCGTCTCCTCACTTGATTCAGACTTACATAGCCTTCACCTTCAAATATCCTTACAAAATGGGGATCAAAATAACCTGCCTGGAGATTTGACATTTCTTTGGATCCCCCAGGTAGCATCTGTTTATTTTTGCTTGCAGCCTCATTAAAGGGTCCTTTAAAAATAAATTAGGAATATCATAACTTTGAGCTAATAATTAAAGAACATGAAAAATAACTAAGAAAAGTTTCAAACTGTGGGATTGGGGCCAGTGAGTTTTGAGCTCTAAAATGCTGTCTCAAAATGTTCACTGAAAGCTCTGTGTTGCAGATTATATTGACTATAAGACCTAAGAGGTTTCCATTAAATCATTTTAATAATTAGGTCCTGGTTATAGACTCTGAATTTTAGAGCTGGAAGGGACCCTGAAAAGCATTTAATCCAATGCTTCCCCATCTATATACTAGAAAACACTGTGTGAGATTATCAGCAAGTATGTGTGTGTGGGTGTGTGTGTGAGGTTGAAGGGAAGGGTGTTCCATACTCAAACTGAGGCAATTCCCCTCTTGGATATATACTCAACACACATGAGTGTCTATACTCACTAAAAGACGTGAACAAGAATTTTCACAGCAGTTTCATTCGTAATATTCAAAAACAAGTAACTACTCAAATGTCCATCAACAGGAGAACAGATAAATAAACGTGATATATTTATACAATGAAATACTAGTAGCTCAGTAATTTTTTTAGAAAGCTGTTTTTATAAGTATTTAGAGCTTCTTTTATAATTTAGATCTAGGAGAGCTCAATTTGGGAAGTCCTTCAGCAATGTGAAAATTTTTTTGAAGTGCAAACAATCCTTAAATCAACCAGTTATTTAAATGTGAATTTGTATCACTGATTTTTTTAACTTAAATTTTGGAAAGGTAATATATTCACATGGTTCCAAATTCAATAACATGTTTTTACGATAAATTTTCCTCCCACACTCGTACATCCAGTTCCTCTCCCACAGGAAATCATGATATTTTGTTTTCCAGAGAATGTTTAAACATGTCCCAATGAATATTTTCATATACATCCTTTTCCATCTTTGATGCTTAGCATAATATATAATAAACAATTCTGAACCTTGATTTTTTTTATTTAACAGTATATCTTGGAGATGTTTCATGTCAGTGCATTCTTTTTGTAACAAAGGAGTCATTGAATAGCCAAAAGTTTAACTGAGACATTTAAACTGTTTATTTACTTTAGCTCTTTACTATTTATGACTCTTCTACAAATCCCTCAGCTATTCACTTAGCATTTTACTTTTCAGGAAAGTAATCATGGATGGCCTTTTGGGATGCAAATGTAAATGCTGCTTGCATAACACGGTGTCCCATCTGAGAAACCATAAGCTAAAAACAAAATATTCTGAGAGAAAACTGCCATGCACCTTGGAAAGAAGTAAAATTACCTATGATGAGAATATACAAAGGAAGGGTATCCCAGTGAAAAGAGCTTCCAGCTCTTACAAAATTAAGTTGTCTCAACTCTATCGAAATTTCTTAAGTTTATTCAACTTTAAACTTAATCCTCTAAAATATAGAGCATTAAAATATACCACTTAACCTAAATATTAAATCCAAAATTTCATATAGAAAATATCCACTATTAGGCTGTAAAGAAAACCAGATATACTTACGATTAAATGATGACACATATTTATCACCAACAGTAACATATTCCATCTCACTAAAGAGGCCAATCCTCTCCATATCAGTTTTCCCTCCTTCCACAGGCATGGTTGCTTCTTGTGGTGGTATTCTCTATATTGACAACTTCAAAGTGTTCTTTATGGCTATTTCTTTTATAGCAAAATCCTACTTTACATTGAAAAATACAGGGAAAAAAATTTTAAGAAAAAGGCAATTACTAAATTTCAGTCCAAATGACTTTCAGTCTGAGAATTAGCATTCATTATAAGACAATGGTCCCAAACTATGTGGGGAAATAATCTACTTTGTGGGTCTGAAGGGGAATAATAGCATTCAAAATTATCACCATGAACCCTCCCCTGGATTCTTTGGGTGAAGTATCCACAAATTCCACAGACATGTGTATGACAGCATCTGTCTCATTGCCATTCATCTGTTGTAAATGATCAAATTATTACTGTATAGTATAGTATAAATACTGTGTAAACAGCACCTTTCTTTTGAGAAGTTCAAAGTAGATTTAAAAATCATAATTACATAAGGCGGGGGGCACTTTCAGTTTAGATCGAATGATTTAAACATACTGCGTTGTCTCTCATGTGGGAAATTACAACAGTTTTTCAGAATGCACAACACATACAGTTATTATGTGTTATCCTATGTTCTTGAGTTTTCTCAAGTTTAAATGAAAACAAGAAATGTGTCACTGGCGAAATTAGTTCACAAAGGGGATGGATGGGAAAGGACAATTGTCTAGGCAAGATAAAAATTAAGAACAACAAAACAAACGATAATGCACAATGAATTAAGAGTACTTGTTAAAGGCTAAACTGCAATTGTGGATTTTCTTTTGAAATATCACATTAAACATTCAAGTATTTAGATTTTTTTTAATTAGACATGTTCTGGAAAGGAAGACGAAAGAGCTAAGGAATATTTGCCTCGATTTCATCATTATATATATTTAAAAAAAAATACATACATTTTTAAATAGGCTTCACACCCAGCGTGGAGCCCCCAAGCGGGGGCGGGGGGAGGGGAGGCTTGAACGCACCACCTGGGATCAAGACCTGAGCTGAGATCAAGAGTGGGTCACTTAACGGACTGAGCCACCGAGGCGCCCCAATAATATTTTTTAAGTACCAACTAGATCTAGGCACTGGGCATACATTACTGAATAAAACAAACACTGGCTTATGCTTCCCAATTTATAATCCAAGGTAAGAAACCTTTGCCTTGAATTTCAGTGACACTAAACACACTTGCCTCTTTGGAACTGTGGCTCATCTGAGCATCAACATTGCTAACGGGTAATATCAAAGGCGCAAGTGAAGACTCCTTTAAACTAAAGCGTAAGAAGATGCGCTTCCATTTCCCCCCATTCCAGCTCTTCCTCTGATCAGGTGTGTTTTAAGAGCAAACGTCAGTCAGCTGGGATGTGCTACTTCCATTTGCGGCATGTTTCAAAGCTCCATCCCACTGCCCAACCACAAGAACTTCCTGTGATGTTACAGGGGCTCAAACCCTTTAAATGGCTCACAAGGTCCGCTATCACCCACATTTGTCACCATGGGAACCCCACTCCCTGGCCCCTGGGCTCCATTTGTCTTCTTTCAGTTCTCAGAAGAGACTCGCTCCAGCCACAGGACCATGGCACACGCTGTTTCACTTCATGCGAGTACTTCACCGTGCTGTCTCCTTTAGCTCCCCCAGTTAACACTGATGCTTCGGATCGTGTAGCTCATTGATCACTTAATTACCTCGCCATGGTTTATCTAATGGGTTATCAGTTCACATACAACGTGTGGGAATCCTTTAATTAACAGCTATTTTCCCCATTAAACTGCAGGCTCCACGAAGGCAGGAACGGGGGTGCGTTTTGATTGTTCCTTACCACCGCATTTCCAGTGCCTGCGCAGCGCCGGGCACACAAACAAAGCGAGCCACGGAGGGGAGAAGGAAAGGAAAGAAGCTCCCGCCTTGAAATTTTCCACTATTTAACTCTTCTTGAGCAACATCTACAGAATCGTTCATTCATTTAACAAACACTTTGCAAACCCCTCCTCTGGGTAAAGCTGGCGGACAGAAGCTAGGAAAACATTGCAAAGGGCATGGATCCTGGCCCCAGGGAGCTTACAGTCTAAGCAGGCGAGTACGTAATTCAGTGTAACACAAGGGAATTTGGTAAGGTCCCTCAGGCTTAAAGCGCTGAAGGGAGGGGGCGGTGAAGAAGGGGCGGAAAACGTCTGGCTGAGGCGACAGGAAAAAGATTTCCCATTAAGGAAACAGGCTCGGAGTAGGTAGGTATCTAAAGGCCAACACCCTGCGGCCCCGAGGACCAAGTCACCTCTCAGAAGGACACCCGGTCCGACAGCCGAGACCAGGTCGTCTGAGGTCGGGTCCGGGTTAACTCAGCGGCAGGAGCGACAGCTGCTGCGAGCCACCTCGCGCAAACGCTTCCCGCGCGAGGCCTCGCCGCGAAGCCCCTCCGCACGCTCCGCGCGCTGCCGATACTGACTGTGGCCGCAGGTGTTTATTGTGACGCGTTGCCTCGGGTACGGGAGAACTCGTTTCAAGGTACGCTACGGAAGGATATGTGGAGAATTCGAAGCCGCATCGAGAAACATACATAAAGACTTAAGAGTGTGGGTAGAATGCGAAGGATTCAACCAATAGAATTTACTAAGAAAAGGCTTCTGCTACCCGCCCCATTATCCATCCGCGAGGAGCTGTGGTAAAGTACGCCCCGTAACGTTGCTGGGGGCATGTTGGGAGTTGTAGTCAGCGTTCCCAGGCTCCGCCCTGGAAACGCCACTTCCGGGCCAGCGTGCTGAGCCCTTGCGCGGACGTCAGCGCCCCTGTCATAGCCACGTAGCAGACATGGTGAGTACCTCCGCTGGCAGTCGACCCCTGCGTTTCCCCTCGGACCTTCGTAGCCGCCGTGGGTCCAAGCCCTTGAAAGGAGCTGGCACTGCCGAGGCCCACAGTGGCAGCTGCGAACTCGGTGGTTTGGGCCGCCTTTCTCTCGGTCTCTCCCTGGTAGAGCCGGAGGGAAACTGCCCCGCACAGCCTAGACTATCCCAGCTCAGCCGCGGTAGGACCTGTGCTCCCCGCGCCTCCTCCTTGTGAATGTATTTTGTGAACGAGGGATTATTTGGCGTCTTTGAAGATTTGAGGTATTGGACCTGGGAAAGATATGAGTGACTTCCTTCAAAGACTCTATTCCCCTAGCTCCGGTGATGTCGCACTCCCCCGGTTTCCCTCCTGATTGCTCAGCGAGGTCCTCCAAGCCCTATCCTAGTTAAATTGCTCTTGCCTTTTTAACTTTTGTCTTCTTCAGTATTTTTCATTGTTATTAAATATTTTTTGTCCAAATGGCAACTGCAGAACTCTTTATAGTGCAAATTGTTCAAATGATTGCCTACTATTTGTATGGTAGTAGTGTTCTTTAACTGACTTCTTATTGATAACTATTTAGGTGGTTTCCAATTTTTTTTTTTATTAAAGTTAAATTTTTACTGAATTTTATTTCCTTAGAACAAATTTCCAGAAGTAGAATGGAGTCTCACTTGTATGAGGATGAATTTGTTTTGTTTTACAATGGAATTTTGGTTCTGTTTGTCTTAGGTGATTTCGGAGACTAGGGATATACTCTTCAGAATAAGAGGAGGCCTTGATCTAGCTTTTCAGCTAGCTACTGCTAATGGTAGGTCTGACCAAAAAAACTCTCCTTTTTTATTATAAAATTGATGGTGAAATATACTGGGATCCTCTTTATTTTGCAAATGAAACTGAGTGAGGATAAACTCAAATCATGTGGTTAGTGAGTTCTGTAAATTGGATTTAAACAGGCGCTGTGTTCCAGCACCACTGCTAGCCTGTGAGGCCTCTCTGAGCAAATTAGAAAAAGATACCCCTTTCTTAAAAAAACTTCACTGCCCCCTGGCAGAAAATTGTCACAATAAATACAAATATCCACAATGAGCACAATGTAAACAAGGCATGTGGATTTGTACATTGCAGACTTGCACCTCTACATAACCCTGAGTCTCTAGAGCCCACACTCTTGAAAGTTAGGTTGTTTTGGAATGGTCTAAGAATTCTATGGGAGAAATATCAGCAGAGTTTGTATCAAGCAAATTCTAGGATGTCTTCCTATCTCTGACTTGGGCTAAGCCCACAAAGAGAAGTAAAGAATATCAGAAGAGGAAGATGAGTTGTGTTTGAAAGGTGTTTCATTTAAGATACCAGAGTAGATCAAGTGCAGATTCCCAGCAGGCATTGGGTGATTTGAATCTGAAGTTTAGGGGAGGGAGGGCGGGTGGGGTCAGGACGAGAGAGAAAGAATATCTCTGAAGGATGATCATTAACACCGTGATAATAAATAAAATCACTCATGAAAAGTGTGATCAGTGGTGTCAGAAACCACAGACAAGTTCAGAAATATAAGGAATGAAAAGTGCCAAGTTCCTTGTAGGAGGTCACTAGCTGGCCATCGTTTCCTGGCCCTGTGGAGATAGGAAGGGAGAGAATGCAGAATGTTCTTTCCTACTCATCCCTTTATGCTAAAAAAAATTGTTCTCAGTCTTGGTCCATTCAAATCCCCACTCCCAAATGAATGAAAGTCAGTTTCTGGGACAGAGACCCAGGCATCAGTAAGCTTTCTGGGTGTTTCTAATGTGCCGTCCAGATGAGAACCATCTTACAAAGACTAAATCAAACTCATTTCCAGGCCTGTCTTATTAGTAAAGTGTAGCTCTCTAACACGTCAACTGGTGTGGTTAAAGCCTTGTATTTCACAGCTCCGTATAAATTGAAGCTATACTTTACTATGAACTTACTGCAAAGTACAATTAATCCATTAGTAGATATAATAATATAATTTCAAACGTAAACAAGGTCTGCAATACTTTTTACCAAGTAATTAACATATTTGAGTTTGTCTTCTGACTTGATTATATTACTCCTACAATATCAAACTCTCTCAAACATTCAGTGAAGGGAATCATTAATGAGAAAATATAGAGGAAGGAGGTGCTTAACTTTAAAGACATCACAGTTTTTTCAGATTAGTTTACCTCTTGGTCCTTCAGGGATAAACAAGGTAATCCAGGAATTATGTTTGTCTTCTGTAGTATAGCTGAAAATCTTTAAATTTGGCCTTCTGAAACATATCAAGATGTCTTAAAATCTGACTTGTTGTAAGTAATCTTTTCTCTACCACAACCCCAAGGTATTTATTTATCAAGATACCAGTGTGATAGTTAAATAAATACTTTAACCACAAGGTTAAATAGGTTTAGGATTTAAGAATATAAAGCTAAAATAAGTATATATTGTCTTCTTTAAATATATCTTCTTGGGGCACCTGGGTGGCTCAGTCGTTAAGCATCTGCCTTCGGCTCAGGTCATGATCCCAGGGTCCTGGGATCGAGCCCCGCATCGGGCTCCCTGCTCGGCTGGAAGCCTGCTTCTCCCTCTCCCATTCTCCCTGCTTGTGTTCCCTCTCTCGCTGTGTCTCTCTCTGTCAAATAAATAAATAAAAATCTTAAAAAAAAAAAATCTTCTTGAACCATGAAAATGTTTTACATATTCCAAAAATTATTGTAAACTAAAAAGAAATCCCTGAAAATGAAGTCAAACAAGTGTCGGGTTAACGACACATTACACAGAAAAAACTTTGACTTTAGAATACAGTACTTTGGTTGTACTTTATTCTTAGTGGGATAGAGTCCAAAGAGAAAAAGAACTACAAAGAAATTTGAGTTTCTTTTTTTTTATTATTATTATTGTTACGTTAATCACCATACATTACATCATTAGTTTTTGATGTAGTGTTCCATGATTCATTGTTTGCGTATAACACCCAGTGCTCCATGCAGAACGTGCCCTCCTTAATACCCATCACCAGGCTAACCCATCCTCCCCCCGCCGCCACCCTCAGTTTGTCTTTCAGAGTCCATCGTCTCTCATGGTTCATCTCCCGCTCCGATTTCCCCCCCTTCATTCTTCCCCTCCTGCCTCTTTTTTTTTTCTTAACATATATTGCATTATTTGTTTCAGGGGTACAGATCTGTGATTCAACAGTCTTGCACAATTCACAGCGCTCACCATAGCACATACCCTCCCCAATGTCTATGAAAGAAATTTGAATTTCATTCAACAGTTTTATTGCTATAAGTTATATGGTATTTTGAAAGTAATTGGTGTCCTCATACGTTGCTGGTGGAATATAAAATAGTGCAGCTCCTTTGGAAAACAGTTTGGCAGTTCCTCAAAAGGTTAAACATAGAGTTACCCTGTGACCTAGCAATTTTACTCCTACATGATCACCTAAGAGAGTTGAAAACATATATGCACACAATAACTTGCACACAGATGTTCATAGCATTATTCATGATAACCAGAAAGCAAAGAGACAATCCATATATGTATCAGCTTGTGAATGGATAAACAAAGTGTGTTGTATCCATTCAGGGGAATATTATTCAGCCATAAAAAGAAGTGAAGTACTGATCAATGCTACAATATGAATGAATTTTGGAAATATTATACAGGGTGAAAGGTAGACATGAAAGGACACATAATGTGCAATTCCATTTATAGGATGTGTCCAGAATAGGCAAATCTATGGGGACAAAAAGTAGATTAGTGGTTGCCATGGCTCAGTGTAGGAGGAATGGGGAATGAGTGCTGATAAGTATAGGGTTCTTCTGGGGTGATGACAGTGTTTTGGAATTAGATAGTGATGATTGTAAAACCTTGTCAATATGCTAAAAGCAACTGAATTGTATACATTAAAAGGATGAACTTCATGGTCTGTGAATTTTATCTCAATTTTTAAAAAGAAAGGCAAAATGTTTTTTTTAATATTGAATCTGCAGAATAGTTATCTGGGAGTCAATTTTACTGTGTTCTACTTTTGTGTGCTTGGAATCATTCATGTTGAAAAAGTTTAAGATTTTTCTCGTTAACTTCTATTTATTTGCTTTTAATTTAGAAATATTTATCAAGAAAGCACTAAAACATGTGCTGAGTGATCTGTCAACCAAGCTTTCTTCAAATGCACTTGTGTTCAGAATTTGCCACAGTTCAGTGTACATATGGCCTAACAGTGACATAAACACCATCCCAGGAGAACTGAGTGATAATTCTGCTTGTAAGAACATAATGCGCTTTATTCAGTGAGTATGTTTGAAAATTGCTAGAAATGTTTTCAAAATGTCATCTCATATTATAAACATCTTTGTGTATTAAACATCTAGCTTTGAACAGGAAGAAGATACCAAACGAAAATTTATGAGAAAGAAAGACAAAAAGTTATCAAACATGGTAAGCAAATCACCTGTCTTCTTAGTGTTAAAGATTTATAATCCTTGGATTTGGACTGGAGTAAGATCTTAGAGATTATTTAATGCAACTCTCTTATTTTTTACAGATCAGATTATTGAGGTCCAGAAAGAATAAATGACTTGTCAGAGGTTGTATGTCTGTTTTACGTGTCTAAGCTTTTGTTCCATATTAGTACATATCTTAATACATACCTTTTTGGGGATGCTTTCTGTGCTCCCACAAAAATACACAGCTCGAGTATGTTTGCAAATTACTTAAAAATAAATAAAAAGGAACCATTCTGAAACATGACAGAGGCACATTATGCTGTGAGGTAGTAAATAATAAATGATTTACTTTTCTTCACCTTGTTCTTAGTTCTGGTACTTTTTGAACCAGTGTTATTGAGGACCTGCCATATGCCACAGACTTGGCAAATACTGGAGAGGAAAATTGGAGCTACTTCAGGGGAGGAAGTTGTACGAAGTTAATACAGTACCGTGTTTTTCTAGGCTGTTGCGGGAAGATAGGGTGGACATGAGGTTGGAGAGCGAGGCGGGGGCCACTTCAGAAGAAGCAGAACTAAGCCAGCAGCTATGCTAACAGAGGAGGGAAGGGATCCAAGAGATATTTAGGGGATAAAATGGATGATCCTTGGAAATGAATTGGATATGGGATGACCATTTTCTTGCTTGGGTAAAGATGGGCGATGGGGAAGGTAGGAGGTCAGTTTTGGTCACGTTTGAGACACCAGTGAGATGTCCACATGAGCTGTTAAATTTACGATTGGTAGCTGTTAGATTTAAAGAATCTGTGGGCTCTGGATCAGATGATTTGAGAATTACAAGTAGTTGGAGCTTGACATTTTGAGGAGTACGGGTCGGTTATTTTGTAGAACATTCCTCAGTTGGGGTTTGTTGTAGGCTTCCTCATGACTAGATTCAGGTGCTGCACTGTTGATAGGAATACGGCCGAAGTAATATCATGTCCTCCTTAGCACATCATATTAAAGAGGCGTATGCTATCAGTCAGCCTCTAGCATTGGTGATGTTAACTCTGATCATTTACCTCACATGGTGTCTGCTGGTTTTCTTCTCCGGGTGAGGGCACTATTTTTTCCCTTGTAAGTAGTAAGTATCTCATGGTAAGAGGCTATCCTATTCCTCACCAAAGTTTTACCCACCACTTCCAGTATCAACTGATAATTTTTTTCTGAATCCAGCATTAACCTGATGGTTACGAAGTGGTGATTTTTCTGTCATTTCCTTCTACAGTTCTTAGATGACATTATACCATAAGGAAGAGCTTTGTTTTTCCCTTTTTATTTATTATATGCATGGAAGCATAGGTTCCTATTTTATGCAGTGAGTTACAGTCTGTTACTCCCATTAGTTATTTGGATGCTCACATTTTCCAAGATTTGGCCAATGAAAGCTTCTTCAGGCTGGCTCCAGTGTCCTTTGGACACTGTATTTTCGAGTACTTCCTACTTCTTCCACAAGATGTTCTAGGCACATCACGGACTGCCCTTGTTCCAGCTCAGGGATCAGCCATTTTTCTAAGGAGCTCGCACATGTGTACATACATACCATACGTGTGTATGTATATACACACAGAGACACACAGTACATTCCAGTTTATCTATGTAAATCATATTTATATTTCCAATTCTATTTCTACCTCACTGAATTCGTAACTTTTTGCCAGTGAAAAACCTGGCTTCCAGTATTCTCAATCTTTTGCCAGATTTGTTCAAAATAGAAAGTATTTTCAGAGTTGTTATTCCATACCACTGTCAAAATCAAACCTACTAACATAGTTCAGTATTTGTTTATAGTTCTCTATGCCTTTAGGCCAGGGGTTTATAGTTCTAATGTATGTTTAAAAGTTCCTTTGGTGTGTGGTTATTGTATCTTGTTCATTTGATTTTTTTTTTCACTTTTAAGTCTATACAAAAGTAGAATAATATGTGAATCCTGGTGAACCTACACCAGCTTTAATGTTCATCAACACACAAATGTTTAAAAAGAAAATGTTTATCAACAAATGGTCAGTGTGATTTCATCTTCATCCCCACTCCCTCTCCACCTCTCCTCAGATTATTTTGAAGCAGAGATTTTTTTTTTTAAGATAAGATTTGTGCTTTTAAACGATTTACTGTAAAATAGCTTTATATAGGGCCCTTAAAAAGTCATTTTACTTGCCCTTTATATTTAATGTTCAATGTGCTATAAGTTGACTATTACTGTTTATAGCATCAAATAGTAAATATAGATCTTATGCTGGAAATGTCAACCTCTCTGGGAGCCGTAACCCCCATCATTGAAAGAGAAAGCGGAGGACACCACTACGTTAGTATGACTTTACCCGTTGATGTAGTTCTATCTGTTGCTCCAGAAGAAACATGGGGAAAGTAAGTATTTTGTACTTCTACTGACACATTTAAATAAGCACTCCTCCCCAGAGTAATCAGAGCCCGTTTTTAAATATCATATAGACATATCCAGGATTGTTGTTATTTTTACTATGATTTATTCCTTGTTTGTTATTAAGCTGAGTCATCTAGTAATTAAATGTTTATTTAGAGGAAGTATGCAGAAACCTAAGAGGTTTTCCCTTTACCTACACGTTGGAAATATATAGTCTACTTAATTTTGCATAAATTTAGACTTCATTTAATAATCCTGGTCCAATCAGGTTTTTTACTGTATTTAGGATATATTAACTCTCCATTCTCATTTATCATAGCCACTATAACTTTTGTTAATGCACTTGACTATTTCCCTCCACAGAGTTCGTAAACTTCTAGTTGATGCAATTCATAATCAGCTAACTGATATGGAGAAGTGCATTTTGAAATATATGAAAGGAACATCTATTGTGGTCCCTGAACCATTGCACTTTTTATTGCCAGGGGAAAAAAATCTTGTAACAATTTCATATCCATCGGGAATTCCAGATGGTCAGCTGCAGGCCTATAGAAAGGTAATACCAAGGAGTGCCTGGGTGGCTCAGTCGGTTAAGCATCTGCCTTCTGCTTGGGTCACGGTCCCAGTCCTGGGGTCGGGCTCCCTGCTCCGTGGGGAGCCTGCTTCTTCCTCTCCCGATGCCACTCTCTCTCTGTCAAATAATAAAATCCTAAAAAAAAGGGGGAAAGAGAGAAAAGTAAAGCCAATACAGCTATGACCATCATTCATTTTATGTTTACTTAAACATTTCTAATAAATGGAACTTATTTTATGATTTAATATGAAAGTAGAATCAGGCTACTATTTTTACGTGTTACTCAATTTCTGTTGACATATAACTTTTTTAAAAGTATGTTAGTGACAATATATGCTAAACCATATGTAACACTTTGATTTCAGACACTCAGTGTGGTTCATATGTTCTGTGAAATTTTTCCATAATGAAATACAGAAATGAAAAGATGCTTACATGCCTTGAGCTGCTGCTGAGTGTTTATAAATAAATTCCTTTTCCCTTCCGTTACTTTCAGATTTATGAAAGAGGCAAGATTACAGTTAGGGAAGGAAAGTTAGGATTTATGCTAATTCTAATTAGGATTTATGGTAATACTTTACCCCCCACCTCTCAGGGTTATTTGGGTTTTATTAGAGGCATTTTGAAGAAAGCATGATCAGCATTCAAAGAACTGAGATTTATTAATGAAATGACTGGTTTTGGAGTGCATATTTTTGATGTGTGTTCTTGCCTGGCACCCATCAAATTATACCAGGGGAGCATCTTCCACATCCGTCCCTGGGAGGAGGGGAGTCCTGTAACGCTCTGCTCTGTCTGTAAGTGCTGGTGGACTTGACCTGCAGAGGTGCCAGATGATCCCATTCCTGCTGCGAGAGTACTTAGGAGACACGAAAACGAAAATGTCAGACTTTACAAAGGAAGGGTCACGTTTTTATACAGTTGGGAAAATTTTGCATTTTAAGCATGTATGCATATTTTAATTTTGATGCCATATTGGTTGGTTCCTTACCACCAATTTCTCCTCCAGAATTTACTCACCACCCCTTGTATTTGTTAAGTACTTTAAGCATGACTTTTCAGAATGCTGTCATGTAAATCTGTCATTGTTAATTATAATTTACTCATTTTACCAGGCTGTTTCAAAACCAGTCTTTAGCCTGGATGTATTTTAACAGACTGTGTTATGATAAATAGTTAATTTGAAATTATGTGACTTCTCTCACTCTGACAAATTACAGTCGACCCTTGAATAACACAGGTTTGAACTGCAAGAGTCCACTCGTACACAGATTATTTTCAGTAAATACCGTATAGCACTGTAAATGCATTTTCCCTTCCTTACGATTTTCTTAATAACATTTTCTTTGCTGTAGCTTACTACATTGTAAGAATACAGTATATAGTACCTATACAAAATATGTATTAATCATTAACGTGTGTATGTTCTCGGAAGCCTTCCAGTCAACAGTAGGCTCTTCAGTTTTTGAGGAGTCAAATCTACATTTTCGACAGTGTGAGGGCTCAGTGCCTCTAATCCCCACGTTGTTCAAGGCTCAACTGCATTCTCATTTTTTCTGTGTTCCCTTCCAGTTTCTACCCATATCCATGGAAAAACATACATAACTCTCATTTGGTTTTAGTTTAAATCTCACCCTGTTCGACCTTAGTGAATTATATTAAAAGTATGTTTGATAACTTTTATAGCCAATATATAGTTAATTTTGTTTTCTATTCTTTAGTTTGAATTTGTTTACTGATGAGCGAGGAGTCTGAGTTACTTAACTTTTCCTCTTCTATTGATTCTGATTTCATTTAGGAATTACATGACCTCTTCAATCTGCCTCATGACAGACCGTATTTCAGAAGGTCTAATGCTTATCATTTTCCAGATGAACCATACAAAGATGGTTACATTAGAAATCCACATACTTACCTTAATCCACCTAACATAGAGACTGGTATGGTGAGTTTAATGATTATTTACGGAGTCAATTGATGATCCGTGTCAGTGGTGATTTTTTGTTGTATCCAGTGGAAGTTTTAAGGATTGATTCAGAATGTGTGTCATCTCTAAAACAAAATTTACCACCTGTTTCTTATAATAATCGTTGCTTAAAATAGCAGTATTCACAATAGTCTAAAAAGGTCAGAAATAGTTTGTACCACAGTTTTCCTATGGAAATTCCATTCCCTAATTTATTTAAAGGTTGATCCCCATTTATTTTCATTCTGAACCTGAGAAATCACACTAATTAAAGAGCATGATTCATTATTACTTTTTATTCTTTGCTGGATTTCATTTGCTAACATTTTAAGATTTTTGCGTATGTGTTCATGAATAGGATTGGCTTCTGAATTTCTTTCCTCACATTGTTCTTATTTCATTTTTCTGTCAGTAATATCCTGGATCATTGAAAGAGTTGGGGAGCATTCCCTTTTTTATTTTTTTCATTTTCTAGAGGAGTTTCTGTAGGATCAGCTTGATAGTTTTTTGATCATTTGGTTAAACTTACCTATAAAATAATTTATGCTTAGCATTTTCTTTGTGAGAACATTTTTAATAAGATTTAATTTTATTAATGGTTATAGGACCTTTTTCATTTTTCTAAGTTCTATTTACCTAGGTCTTAGTCTCTTCTGTAGTTGTAATGATTTTTTTTCATTCTTTATATCATTTTTATGCCTTTTTTTTTTTTAAGTTTTGGCTTTATTGACCCCCTTTATTGTAACTTCTATATTCTGTTTCATCAATTTTTTGCTCTTCACTTTCTTCTTCCTTTACTTTCTTTGATTAGTTGTTTTTCTTCTCACTTCTTAAGTTGGGCATTTTGCATATTGTTAATCTTTTTTAATCTCTAAGGTTTTAAATTTCAAGCAAAGTACTGTTTTCACAGATTTTAATTTGAAGTATTTTAGTTTTATTCAGTTCTAGGTATCTTCACACCTCTATTACAATTCTTCTTTAACCCGTGTATTATTTCAAAGTGTTTTTTAACATCCAAATGTATTAGAATTTATTTATGTAGGTATGTGTGTATGTAGTTTTACTGATTTCTGACTCTTTTTGCCTGCTGGTCAGAAACAATTTTTCTGTGATACAGATTCTGAAATTTATTGAGACATATTCACTTCCTGTGGATGCTATAGAAACCACAGATTTGGTAGCTTAAAACTACAAAGATGTATTCTCTCAGTTGTGGAGGCCACCAGTCCGAAATCCCTATAATGAGGCTGAAATCAGGTGTCAGTGTGGTCATGCTCCCTGCAAGGGCTTTGGGGAGAATCCATCCCATGCCTCTTCCAGCTGTGGTGGCTGCCCGCACTCCTTGGCTGCATCACTCCCATCAGTCTCTGTGGTCACGTTGCCTCCTCTTCTCCTCTGGTGTCAGATTTCCCTCTCCACTCTCTCACAAGGATGCTTGTGGTTGCATTTCAGGCCCACCTTGGATGGTCCAGGAAAATTTCCCATATGTTAAGATCTTTAATTTAATCACATCTGCAGAGATTTCCCCTACCCCCCCCCCTTTTTTTTTTTGCTTTTTGACCATATAAGGTTAGCCTTTACAGGCTCCAGGGATTAGGAGATAGATACCATTTGGGGACCATTTCTCCACCTACCACAATGTTCTAGCTAAAAATTTTCTGTTTGTGCTTGAGAAGAAAATATATTGTCTAATTGTTGGATGAGGATTCTATATTTGTCCATACTTCTTACCTAATTTTTAAAAAAATACTACCTTACACCAGTTTGTGGGGAAAAAAAACACATGAGTATTCTTAACATTATACTGCAAGAATAGAAGTTATATGATCTTGGCCTTTATTTAAGGATATTTAAATAGCATACCTGGGCTGTAATCAATGGCAGGTTTACCAAATTGGAGAAATATTCTTCATATGTCCCATTATATGGCCCCTTTGTTCATTCCTTTATTCCTTCCTTCATCATTTATTCAGTAAACATTCATTGACTATTAACCGTTTGCCAGACCCACTGTAGAAGCTTAGGCCCAGAAAGAAAGAAGACACAATAGTTGCCCTTATCAAACTCACATATTAGTGTGGTTAAGCAGAGATTTAAAAAGTAGTAAGTAAGGTGTCAAGTGGTGCTTTGAAAAATAAAAAAATAAAGCAGAATAGAGTGACAGCCAGGGCAGGAGGTGGGTGGTGAGGGAGTAAAGCATGCCATTTTTAGGTTGGGCGATCATGGAAGGCCTCTGACATTTGAGCAGAGACCTGAGTGAAGTAAGGGTGCAGAGCTGCAAATTCTTTGGGAAAAGTGTTCCAGGCAGAGCAAACCATACGGCTCTGACATCAGATTGCCCCGGGCGTATCTGAACCTAAAGCAGAGCAAGCAACAGGGGAAAGTGGTACAAGATGACATTGGAGAGGAGGCCAGAGGGCAGGACTTGCCAGGCCTTAGAGCCTATGATAACGACTCTGGACATTTAATAAAAAGCCAAGAAAGTATCATGTTCAACTGTAGTTCTCTGAAGGCATTTTTGTAAGGAAGTAACAGTCTGGCTCTGAGAACAGTAAACTTGTCTTGGATGTCTGTATGTATAGAATATGTGCATCTATCTTAAGTTAATATGTTACTATATTCTTTTTATATAGATTTTTGTGGTCCAGGGCATTTATGGTTATCATCACTATATGCAGGACCGGATGGATGACAATGGCTGGGGCTGTGCTTACCGATCTCTGCAGACAATCTGCTCTTGGTTCAAACACCAAGGCTACACAGAGAGATCCATTCCAACACACAGGGAAATTCAGCAGGTACAGAACATGCCATTTAAAATTCTAATCAATTGTACATTTCATTAGCCTTAATATACTATTAATAATGATTATTACCTCGTGGTACGGACTTATTTCTGTTTTGAAGGGAAAAAAAAACATACTCGTAATCAGGGAAAAGGTCCTAAAAGTGGTTTTTAATAGCTGTCTTGTGTGGATTTTTTGTGTTTTTAATTACACAAAGGCTCTAGTTGATGCTGGGGACAAACCAGCAACGTTTGTTGGATCACGGCAATGGATTGGATCTATCGAGGTACAGCTGGTACTGAACCAACTGATTGGTGTAACTTCAAAAATACTGTTTGTCAGGTGAGGACACTTTAAGAAATTAGTGATATCATTTCAAAGCAAATTTGTCATTTTATTAAAAAAGAGGAAAATTATATATTGTTCTCCTTTCTCTTCCTCCTCACTGTTTTTACTTTCTCTCCTCCACATTGCCTCATTGCTTTACAAATCTCATTTTTTAAACCCTGAATTTTTTGGTTATTTTTTTGGAAGGCTTTGAGTTGATGAGTAAACTTTGCAATATATACTTGCATGGTGTAGACCTAATTTAGCCAAGAAGAGGAACACTTGGAAATATGTCAACTTTGACTGGAGTTACAGAAAATCAACTTTTTGTTTATCCTCAAGTCTTTAAAAAGTCTTAAAAGGAAAAAATCAAATGTTGATCTATGACTGCCCTTTTTGTGTACCTCCTGGCCTTTTTCCTCTTAAGATGCCAATAAACTAATAATGTGTCCAAATAATATATTCGTTTTTTTCCCAGTACAGTTTAGCCATAAGTCTGGCATGAAAATATGAGCAAATATTCAGGTTGTGATTGTAGGGTCCTGGGATTGAGCACTGTGTCAGGCTCCGCGCCCAGTGTGGAGTCTGCTTGAAATCCTCTCTCTCGCTCACTCTCTCTAAAGTAAATAAATCTTTAAAAAAATAAAATATGAGCAAATATTAACTAAATAAGATTGGTTTCTATGACAGTAACTGGCTTATTCCTTATTAGTGAGCTTATGTTTTAAATACTTTTTCTATTACAGTAACCTCAATAGATACAGTAACGTTACCTTTTTTTTGTCTGTGTGCTTATGACCAAGGACGTATGATTTCACAATTGCAGTTTGGATTGTGTGTGGAAACCAGAGCTGACAAATAAATGATAGATTAAGTAGTGAAGCATATGGTGATTCAAAAGTGAATGTTTTGGCACAATGAAACTTTATACGTTCCTTACTGAGCAAGAGCTAAGGATTAGCCACTACCTGGCACCTCCAGTCTAAAAAAATAATCTCCCTTCATCTGGCCATCTTTCTTTCTTCGCAAAAGTACAAATCATATTGGACATTGAAATATTCCCTAAAATAATATGTTGTACTTGAAAACATTTTGCAGTTTTCACTTTGGCTTCACAGATACCATCTGTTTTGGCCCCAAATCTCCCGTCACGTAGACAGGGCAGGGGTGATTGGTCCCAGTGTAAAGATGAGGAGGTACAGACTGAGTCTGATGGCAAGGAGACAGAACCCAGGACTTAAAACTCATTCTTCTGAAATCAGATCCACCCATAAGAGCCCCATGGCCATCAAGGTGACCACTTTCACTCATCCGTTAAAAATCCTTCTTTATGCAGTTCCGGAAGCAAAGAAGCAAGGTCTTCTTGCTTCTTTCCTAACACGTTTAGTGGCCTTAAACACTTTGAGAGGTTATGGTGCTTTAAATTGCTCTCAAGTCAGTTCCCTACCACTTAATGTTATTTAAATTTATTTCATGTTTTTTTTCAATAACTAAAAAAGAAAACAAAATGGTAGAAAACACTGGCTCCCAAACTCCTTATTTGACCTTAGTGTGAGAAATCGTTCATCTGATGGAAGATGGTTTCTTTCTAGCCAAGGTTGTGAAATGGCCTCTCAAGGACGGGTGCTGGCTGATCATTTCCAGACTGCAGGAACTCCAGTCATGATCGGTAAGGTGTTTTGGACATCTCTGGCTCTTTGGGTAAAGAGGAGAATATATACAATTTATTGTTAATATAATGTCACATAAAATCAGTCATTTTTAAACATTTTAAAATTAGCTTTCATACCGTACATACTGACCTCTGGATATTTATTTTTCAATTTTTAAGGTGGGAAGAAAGTTATAAGAAAGACTGTAATAACCAGAAGTAAAGGCTAAGAAGAGAAGTGATAACTGTTGAAATATTTAAAGAGTGGAGAACAGTATAGAAAATAGGCCATGGTCCTCAGTTGAGCCTACTGAGTCCTGGTGCTGTCTCTAACGTGGCTGGCTGTGTGGCATTATACAAATTGCTTCACCTCTCTGGGCTTTATTTGTAAAGGGGATCAGATGAGTTGATCTAAATGTTGATGATTCTGTGAAGAACAGGACTTGATCTGAGATGACAGAAGGCAGACTTAGTCTGGTATGTAAGATACGCAGGCCAACAGATTTAGCAGAGTATCAGGAGGACCTGAATGGGTAGATGGGCTGTCCCACGGGAGGCACTCAGAGCAGAGGCAACATTGCCTGTGTGCTGAGAGAGGCCCTCACAGCGGTGATTGTGATCCTCCTGTAGCCCTTTCTAAATCCAGTGTAGGTAATTCCATAGATATGGTAGTGGAATAGAAACCTGATATGAGTACAGATATGATTGTATTTTTCCAATTTTAAAGATAAAATTTTATCTTCTCAGAGTATACTTGACATTGTCTGTGGTCTTTTATAATATAGGCTAGTCACCTTTAATGGTGTGTTAGATCAATTAATAGGCCAAATAATCTTTTTAAATTGAAATTGAGTGGCGCCTGGGTGGCTTAGTCATTAAGCGTCTGCCTTCGGCTCAGGTCATGATCCAGGTGTCCTGGGATCGAGCCCCACATCGGGCTCCCTGCTCAGTGGGAAGCGTGCTTCTCCCTCTCTCACTCCCCCTGCTTGTGCTCCCTCTCTCGCTGTCTGTCTCTGTCAAATAAATAAAATCTTTAAAAAAAAGAAATTGAATAAAAGCTGAGATTCATATATGCCCTCTCATATTTCATATTTCCCTTGCTGTAGGGGGAGGAGTTTTGGCCCACACAATACTAGGAGTGGCATGGAATGAGCTCACAGGGCAGATAAAATTTCTGATTTTAGATCCACATTATACAGGCGCTGAAGATCTACAAGTTATTTTGGAAAAGGTAAGTATCTTTTTAACACAAATTTAGATGCAAGGCGAAGAACCCAGAAGCAAAGGAGAACAAGCTGGCCGTTAACAGAAAGACTATAAGCCAAGGGCTGTGATATACACTATCAGGAGGTATTCTAGGGCTGTGAGGACTATCTGTCTGGATAGAGACACTATCCAGGTTCCAGAGGGAACTAAAGTGAATTGCAAAGAACAAAATTCAGATTAGATTTATGAAGACTTTCTTCATAAAGTTATTAAACTTAATAATGGAACAAAGAGTTTATAAATATATTCTTTTGGAGATGTTACAGCTTTGCATAAACAAATGTATTGAGATAGAGTGGATTAAATAACCTTTATAATTGTATTATTAACCAAAAATAAGTAGACATTATGGAGGCTTGACTACGTCTAATTTATTTATATATAATTTATTCTCATTCTAGAAAGGATTTGAATTTGAGACAAATTTAAGAATATTCGTAGATACTTAGAATACCAGTTAAAAGAGGTATAAATTTAACTTAATGTATAGGCAGCTAATTCTCACATGTGAAAACTCATACTAAAACTTTAGAAGGCAAGTGTAGTAAGACATAACTTGAATTTTAACTTCTATATTTTTTGCCAAATATATTAAAATTACAAAGAATGCATACAACTTTTTCAGCCACAAACCAATGAATATATCCTACTATTACCCACTACCCTTCATTTTTCTCATGTTGTCACTTAAGTCAACATCATGAATACCAATAAAAAGCCTTCTGAATTTTGAAGTTGTAGTATAATTAGGTCATTTTTTTTTTTTAAAAAAGCACAATTCCTAGGGATTTGGGTGGTTTAGCATTGAAATTTATTGGTGAGACACTTTCAGAAGTTGAACAGAATGTAACTGCTTGAAGTTACCAAAGCCCTAAGAATGAGGGGTTTAGTACATAAAGAGCTTTGGTGTGTGTGTGGCTGAATTCTTTTATAGCCCAGTTTAGTAAACTATTTTGCCAGCGGTAAGACTATAAATACAGGAGATAAATGTGTCCTGCTTTTATCTTTCAAGGCATTTGCACTGGGAAATCTATGAAATGTTTTGTGCCGGCACACGGAAATGGGAGCAGTATTTACTCTCTTTCTGTAGCCAAGTGGTCCCTCACTCATCATTAAGTGCTAATACGTGCCATCCACTATCCGAAGCAATGGGGTGTTAAAAAAGGTCTTTAAGAAGCTCTTAGTCTACTGTAGAAGACAAAAGAGATCCGAAAAGTATTCCCCAGAAAAAATACGGTTATCGAAGGTAGAGTTTACAAGGCTGATCAGTAGAGGGATCCCTTGGAGACCGTGTAAGGACAGCAGGCCGTGTTCCCAGAACTACGGCGGTTTTGGCAGTTCTGACATGATTAGAGCCGGCGAGTAGGGATAGGCAAGGGCTAAAACTGTGAGCCAGGCCGAGAAGCAGAGCATTTAGATTTTAACTCCGAGGCAATGAGGAGCCTTCATTATTTTAATGAGAGGTATGATTACTTCTTTCTGGCTGGTTTGAGGAACTTTGCAGTAGATGGGATTGTCTAGATAGGGTTTTCTGAAGCAGTTGGATAGAATAAGGCATTGTCCCTGATTACTTTCTCTGAGGATTGTACTGTCCTCCTTTGCTAGTTAGATTTCTATAGAGTTTTCAATTGCAGAAAACCCTCTGCCCTTTTAGCACGTATAAGGAACCACGAAGCCAAGGCCTGGCCATCAGTAGTATTGACTCTCACTTGACTCGAGAATCTAGAGCAGTGTCTCAGAGCCTGGGCTGCTGTAACAGAACACCATAGCCTGGGTGGCTTATAAACAATAGAAATGTCTTCCTCACAATTTTGGGGGCAGGGAAATCCAAGGCACCAGCAGGTTTGGTCTAGTGAGCCCCACTTACGAGTTCACAGACAGCAGTCTTTCTCACTGTATCTACACAAAGTGGAAGGGGCCTCCTTAATGAAGGCACTAATCCCATTCATGAGGGCTCCACTCTCATAACCTAGTCACCTCCCAGAGGTCCCACCTCCACATAGCATCACGTTAGAGACTAGCTCCTAGCTTTCAACATGAATTTTGGAAGGACACAAACATTCAGTCTAGCAAGAACTGTAGGGACAGTTCTGCCTCTGCTTGACCTCTCTTTACCCTCTTGTGGAACTTTCCTGTTCGAAGTTCCCAGACTAGTCGCCTCGGGGAGAAAGAGCGTAACTCCCCTATCTACTGCCATCAGTTTCTGGTTTGGGCACCCTCTCTACCCAAATCTTTATAAAATAATTTGAGTCTGGTTACCTGGAAAAGGCCTAAAAGATTAAAACAGAAAGTATAAGCCTTTATTCATCATTAAGAAAACAGATTTTAGGACACTGAATTTGTTAGAAAAAGTTTTGCTTAAAAAGATAACAAAAAAGCTTATTTACATATAGAAACAGGTCTCAAAGACCAAAAAAAAAAAACCCACAAATTTTGCGGTTACCTGGGAGCAGATAGGACTGATGGAGGACTTTTTATTTTCAGTTGAACTTTGATAATGTAGATCCTATTTTTGCAATCGGAGAAAGAAAAATGCAAAAATTAAAGAGCGTCTCTACTCAACCCTCCAGCCTCCACACTAAAAAATAGAGCTAACGCACCATCTTCTGTAGAAACCATGAACTTTAGCTTTAGGTCCCTGCCAGAATACGCAGCAGCTTCTGAGTTAGTTAGGCTAAGGGGTGAGACCACACTACTTGTCACTCACCCAGTGGTATTTATTTTAAGAGTTCTAGCTGGCCTCCTCACAAGTATTTTGTGAGCAAAACATTTCATTTCAGGTAATTCAGACTAGTCAGAGCTGGGTCTTTAAGAAAATAAATCAATGGCCCTAGAAGAGATGTTGTGAATTTGTATTCACAGTGAGACTTCATTTGAAAGTAATTTTCTCTGCTGGGGAAAAACGATGGAAAAGAATGGCAAGTGGAAGGATTATAGCCTGAGGACAGTGAAGGGCAATTCAAGAGGCCAGCACAGATTCTCCCTGCCACATTTCCTCGCAGCCAAGATGCACAGCGTGGTCCCTAAGACAGCCTTTAAAGGACTGCTAAGAAAAAGATTGCCAGTTCAACTATGACCTACCTGCCATTGACTACCAGAATTATAAAACTTAGACTCAGTAAAAATGTGGTATTTGGGAGGCACCTGGCTGGCTCAGATGGCTAAGTGTCTGCCTTTGGCTCAGGTCATGATCTCAGGGTCCTGGGATCGAGCCCCACTCAGGGAGCCGCTTCTCCCTCTCCCTCTACTGTTCCGCCTGCTTGTGCTCTCTTGCTCTCTGTGTCAAATAAATAAAATCTTTAAAAAAAAAAAGATATTTAAAAAAAATGTGATATTTGGAGTAACAGTTACCATAAGGAAGCTTTTTATCAATTCTATGATTAAATATTGTTAAAATTTTTTTAACTCTATCTGAAATGGACTCAAGTATGTTACTTTCCTATGCTTTATAGGAGTTCAAATCTTTGAGTTATATAGGTAGTCTTATTCCGGGATCCAGCTGACAGAATGGGATTGTAAAATGTTACAATTGTGATCATGTAATCCTATAATCTAGTAAAAGGTTTTCCTTTCCCTTCTCCCAAATCTAGGGCTGGTGTGGATGGAAGGGCCCAGACTTTTGGAACAAAGATGCTTACTATAATTTATGTCTTCCTCAGCGACCAAATATTTTTTAAAATATCTTGGACTCAAAGGCTGTAGTAAAGTTGTATTATAAATTTGTTAATAAAGACTAAGTTTAACTTCAGTTTAAATCCTGGGTGTAGTCTGATGGTTTAAACTACAATTTTTTTCAAAGGCTGCAGATACTACACAAAGAAAACAGTGTATTCTTTAGTATTCTTTAATAACTTAAAAGACAAAAGCAGGCACAACCAAAATATTACAGGCATGTAAAAACATGTATTCTTAAATGTTATCTTCACTTAGAAGAAAGTTTTCCTCCTTCCTAGAAGGAGTTGAGGTACACCTGGTGAGCCAAAACCCATAGCTTCTGGCTGGGCAGTGGATCTGCACGGAGTGAAGGCTTTCTTCAAACCTTTCCAGGACCAACGTGAATCTGTGGTTAAAAAACATAGTGACATTAAGAACTTTTTAAAAAAGGTTTTCTCCCCAACCTTCCATTGTGCAGGATAATTTCTGGCCCCTAGAATCTAGCAGTAGTTACTATAACCAGTACTAAAATGTGTTCACAAAAATAAAGATACACTAGAAATAAGACTGCCGATGTTTAAATGAAACAGTTAACTGTGCTGAATAAGCAATCCCTGAGGGAGGAAGAAAACAGTACTGAGTTACTTACCAACACTTCCTTTTTCCAGTTGTATTTTCTACACTTCCAAAACTTCGTTTCTGTCTGGGCACTGGAACACAATGATCTCTATCGGATCGGTCACTCGATTTTATTGTCTGCATACATTTAATTGTTGTAAGAAACTTGGCACATTCTAGAAATCCACAGGCCCAAGCAAGATCTTCAGCTGTTTGTCCATTCTTATTACATAAACTGAATTTAAGACAAAAATTGAGTTACATAAAAATTGGTAATTGTTTAGCCTTTTTTTTTTTTTAATATATCCTTCTACAAAGGAGCTTTGGGCTTATACAAATGTTGGTTTCAGAACAGAAGTAGTAAAGGAATCAGAGAAATTCCAATACTCCCTGCTATTGCACCCTAAGTGACTAGCACAGAGTTCAGCAAAGAGTGGACATTTGAATGAATGAAAGAGTGTTCTGTGCTCAATATAATAAGGAATACTCAAAGGAAGTCAATGAGAACTTTTATAGAAGGGATTATCCCAAACCAAAACTAAGATGTAATATTGCCACAATAGATGAACAGAACTGCACCTCTGATTGCTAAGGATCCATTTTTTACTTAAATTTAATAGTATTAGATATCATTAACAGCCTAAATTAACAATTAAATGACAACTCTAAATTGTCAATTAGGTAGGCAAGCATCATTTTTAAAAGCACATGTAATTCAGCTTGAGTTTGATTAGCTTAATCCAAGCAAATACAGAATTTGAAGCCACTGATTTTATACTTACTCTATTTGGGCATCCCTGGCTACAAGCAGGCTAAGGCATTCCAGACTTCCAACTTTTGCTGCCTTGTGTAGTGGAGCCTCTCCAAAAACATCCTTAAAGATAAGACAGCACATTTTAGTCTCTCCCCAAAACAATTCCTGTGGAGGTTGGTAGGGGAAGTCTAATTACTGTTTAAGAAAGCCAGTTAGAACCACACTGTACTGAATTTTTTAATTCAAGGGTTTTTTTTAATAAAGTTCACTTGGTGTTCTATTAAATACAAAGTTTTCGTCAGTAAAACACATGCAGCCACAACTACCTACATTAAATTTTAGGTGAATAAAAAGCAAAGCAGAGTATTACAAAGGTAAAACGATTTACAATTTAAACTCACCCTACTTTAATATTCAATGAGCGATGCAGACTACCATAAGAAAGTTCTGTAGAAAACTGTAATAGTTGTGAGTTTGCCTCACAACTGTTATTTAAGTAATTACTGTACTGAGACACTTAATTTGGTAATGTAGCAACTGTTCCTTTTGAAATAAACTGTAGACCTACGTATACTGAGCAATATCCTAGCCAGGAGCCATACAGATGGCTAATGAACACTTGAAATGTGGCCAGACTGAGTTGGAACGTGGCTGTAAATGTAAAATACACACCAGACTGAGATGTCTGAAAAGAAAATGGAAAATGTAAGTAATGCTTTATATTGATTACATACTGAAATATTGAGTTAAATAAAATTTCATGTTTCATCTTATTAATGTGGCTACTAGATTTCACATTTCTTAAATGTCTCCCTTTATATTTCTATCAGACATCTCTGCGAGAGCCATGTTTACAGCAAGGGAAACAGTATTTTGGCGTCTGCGAAACGTCTGTGTGGATCTGGGTGGAGGGGAGGGTTGTACACAGAACAATCAGTAACCTGGTTACCTGCTGGTTGAGGTCAGCGCCAGTTTGCAGCTGCCACAGAAGCAAGCAAGCAAGGCCGCCCCCTGCGGCCAAATGGACAAGCGACTGCTCGCAGGGATCCGGGGGTGCGTTGACCGAGGCGCCGGCCTCCAGCAGATGCTTCAGACTATCCACCTGCGGGAGGAGAACAGCAGCTCCAGCACCCCTCTGGCCTGTATCCTGTCCCCCGCTCTCCCGCGGTCGAGAATCTTCCCCCACGCCCCAAATCTAACTCTGAAGAGGCCTGCCTCGGCAGCGCTCAGTGGCCAGTCCCCCTCGCTAGTGCTCCCGAGCAGACAGACACCCGGAGAAGTAAGCCTGCAGGACGAAAGGGGCCCGCGTCTCACCTCCGCGTTGCAATCAAGCAACAGCATTTTCCGCCTACAGCAGAGGACGGGAGCCCTTGGGAGTGCGGAGCGGCGGGGCAGGCGCTGCGGACCAGCAGGAAAGAGTGCACAGCCCGCCGGAGTGCGGGAGGATTTAGACTGCCCGGGCCAGGGGGCCGGCCCCCCACCGCCGCCGCCGCCCCACCGCCGCCGCCGCGCCCCAGCCCTGGCTGCGCCCCAGCAGCCTCGCCCCGCCGGCTGCCGGGCCTTTCCCCGCCCTGCGGGAGCAGCACGTACACAAACACCGGCACGTGCCCCCGCGAGGCTGGCTGGAGACGAAGGCGCGGGTTCGCCAGCCGATTGGCCAGCCGGGAGGCACCAGGCCCGCCCACTTCGGGGCGGGGCCCTAAGGAGCCCCGGCGGCGCCGCAGTGCGCGTGCGCCGCCGAGGGCGCTGGGCGGGGTTGAGGGGGTGGTGCTCCAGCGGCAGCCATGAGGCGCGCTGAGTTTGGCACGTCCCACACTAGCGTGCCCGGCCCTTTGGTCCCTGTGGAGAAGTGGGAGTCGCGGGCGAAGGTTTTCGTTTCTGCTAGCACGCACGTAAGCAGGAAACGAGAGAACTCTGGCAACACCACCTCTGGAAGCCGTTGTGCGTGGTGCTGGCGCCGTGTTCTGCGCCCTCCAGCTCCGGAGGAAGGATGAGCGTTCCTTTGGCGTCACGTTCAAAATCGACCCCCGCTCGCCTCTGTCACCGACGCCCTGGACTTTCAGGGATGAAAGCTGGAGCTGCGGGGGCGGAGGGGCGGCTAATGTGAACTAAGGTTTTAGCACAGGGACTGCGCTGACCACCCCCCCCGCCCCCCAAACTAAACGATTACTCACACCGGGCCCTTTCGGTGACCCCACGCCCGTACTGGGAAATCCGGTAAAATGCAGCCAACCATTGTACTGTGTCCCCTCCTGCGGACTGGTTAAAGCCCCGCTGGGCTCGTCGCCTGGGGAAAGGTTGAGAGCCCAGGCTGTTAACCTTGAGCTTGCATAAAGGACGAGGACACGGTGTCAGCCCGAACACTCACTGCGGGGCGGAGGAGAGGGTTCGAGGAAAGTCGGACCCAGACCAAGGACGTTTGTGACCTAAGGGGCTCTTCCCCGGCGGAGCCGCCGGTCCCTCGCGGCCGCTCCGAGGGGGAAGCGCGGGAGGGGGACGTGGCTTGGGGGGGCGGTCCGCACACTGCCCTGCTTGAGTCATTCCTTTCGGTGCGACCTGAGAAACAGATTGCCTGACTTCAAACTGTAGCCATCCACCACATCTATCATCTCTGGACTGTCTTTTCCTGAACGCTTTTTTCCAGATCGGTCTTGCCAGAAACTAAAGCTGGAGCCATATATTCATTTTCCTTAACATCCTCAGTGATTTCCTTCTTCCTATTCATACCTTTGAGAGCAGGACCCATGAGGAAATAGTGTTTATTACTATGCTTTTGGAGGACAAGCTCAATGAGTGGCCTTTTAGTTCTAATTTTGGTTGCAGGATCTTGTTTATCTTGTAGTAAGAGCCATAAAATAATTTTACAATAATAAATCTATCATGCACTGACCCAAGGGGTAGTTTTCCACATTCTTATTCATATGTATACCTGAACATAAATATGTGTGTGTGTGTGTATATATATATGTTCAAACATAGAATCGTGCTTGTGTTCTGTATTTTTTATATTGAAACTATTCAAAATACCTTTTTTGTGATATTTGAAGAATGTCAGAGATCTGTGAGAACACATGATCGCTGACAATTTCCCTTTTCTCCTGTTTATCAGGTGAGCACTGTTTTTTAAAGAATATAATTAAGCTTCAGGTTCACACAGATGAAAATGAATTTAAGAATCCATTTTCAGGAATTCTTAAGTGATACAAGGTATTATCAGAGAAGTTCTTAGAGTTCTAAACAGAAATTGCAGTTAACATGCAATGCCATATTGGTGTGATGAATCTGCCTCCATATTACATCCTTTTTATTTAAAACAAGATTCTATTCAGCAAGTGTTCAGTCTGGTAATTAGTGTTAACTTCTTGTTACATATGTGAGTTTCACAAGGATAAGGAATTTTGTGAATGTTTGTTAAAGCTTTTCTCCTTTTAATCACTTCCTACTTCTCCATTGCTGACAATGTTTCAGAAAAAATATGTCTCAGCTAAGTATCTGGTTTACTGTTAGTAATGGGCCTAAAAGCTTTCTAAAAATGAACAAAGCTGGTGGAGCACAAAAATACACAGAAGAAATACATGTGGGGAAGAAATACTGTTTACCAGCAAGCAGCTGGAGTTATTACTGAACATGTACCATGGGGGGTCAGTTTTCTAAAGAGGAAAATGATCTAAGACGCATATTCAACGGGCACTCTTCTAAGCAATGTTAATTCTATTTATGTTTAATTTGCTGGTAGATATGTTTTCAGAAAGAGGATGCCATTTAGAGTGAATGTTTTTAAAAAATGTTGGATGATGACTAAGTGACCAAATGCATGGAAGATATGTAGACTGAGGAAGAGTGAGTAGGAGGAATCTGCCAGGTAGTCCATGAAGGGAAGAGTATTTCTAAGGAGTATAAAATATCTTCCAGTGTTAAGAGAACTATGTGCAATTCAGTCTAGTTGCAGAATATGATACACAGCAGTGATGTAAAATAAAGATTTACAAATAAGAAATTATATTAAATGGCCACTAATATCTATTCCAATTTATTAAAATAAATTGACATTGAGCACTTCCTATGCCCCAAGATTAATACAGATAGGTATTGTTATCTGTTCCATTTTACAGGAAAGGAAATTGAGGCTTAGGGAGGTTCAATAACTTACCTAAGGTCCTATCATTATTAAGGGGTGGAGCTGAACTCAGACCGTTTGACTCCAGAGACCACATTCTTATATCTAAATTTTAAAGAATTTTGGTCATCGTTGGTAGATTTGCAGTTACTAAGATTTTCTTTCTTTTTTTTTTTTTTTTTACGATTTTATTCATTTATTTGACAGAGAGAGCACAAAAGCAGGCAGAGCAGCAGGCAGACGGAGAGGGAGAAACAGACTCCCCACTGAGCAGAGAGCAGGACCCAGGGCCTGGGATCATGACCTGAGCTGAAGACAGACGCTTAACCAACTGAGCCACCCAGGCGCCCCTAAGATTAACTTCTTAAAAGCAAAAGAAAGTCCTTAGAGACTATTGTGATAATCCATAGAAAAACAACTCTTTCATTCAATGAAACATATAGTGAAGTTGAATCATCACTAAGTTGTACACCTGAAACTAATGTAACATCAACTATATTCAAATAAAAAAAATGTTAAGGAGTATTTGGCAGAAACAAATGAAAAAAAAAAATAGAGGAAATAGGGGCAATTCTGTGTACTATCTTTGCAGTTTTCTGTAAATCTCAGATTATTCTAAAATAGAAAGTTTATTTTAAAAAAGAGGACTTGAGGCAACTTAAAATTAAACCATTGTGTATTCTTTTTCTTTCTGAAGACCACGGCTATTACAGTTTTTGTTTATTCAAATATTTAGTTTCACCTTTAAGTAACCCTCTTCCCAAATACAATAATGACAGAAGATACCTAAAACATTATGAAGCTAGTTTAATCAAAAGAACAAAAAAATTTCACAAAGTTTTCAAAACCAATCACTACTTAGTTTTTTTGTTCTGATTGACCAATATACTTCAGTTCCTCTGCAAAACACAGTGCCCATTGCATTGATCACTGGAAGATCTTACCAGGCTGTTTCTAGAATGCTCAGTTATTTGGGCTCACATCACTCTGAATTTTTTTCCACATCTATAAAGATTATTTTAATATCTAATATAATAAATATTACATAACTGGTGAAATAGGAACAGTGAGAGCTATAATTTTTTAAGAAAACTAAACTCAATGCTTTCAAAATCATCAAGTCTCTAAGAAAAATGTTTCCCAAGTAGGTGAGGATAAGTCAACCGTAAAAGATGGAAATAGCTCTACATTCAGACTGTCTCATGGCCATTTTAAACTCATACTCCATTTGAAAGAAACATAAAGTGGAATTCATATGCCTATGGTTCATGAAAGAAAGACAACTCTAAACTCTCATGGTCAGCCTCTATTAAGGAAATAGCTTCTAACCCTAGATGAAAAGATTGGAAAGTAGCATATATTTACATGTTATAAATTAAAATGTATATGGTATGATCATACACTATTTTTAACTGACCACAATAAATGCAGTAAAAGCATTTATTGGGCAACCTATATCTTTCATTTAAGGAATATAAAGAGAGTAGCTGAATAGAATGCATTATATTTTTTTCAAATTTTTATTTAAATTCCATTTAGCTAACATGTAATTTAGTATTGGTTTCAGGAGTAGAATTTAGTGATTCATCACTTACATATAACACCTAGTGCTCATCATAACAAGTGCCCTCATTTACCTTTGGATGTTGAGTGAATCCCCTCAGGAAATACCCTGGTAGCCCTAACTGGCCAAAAAAGGTTTCCACACAGCAGGAACAAGACAGGTGAGGCATGTGAATCCCACGTAATTACCAAGATTTTTAACAGATCAATCTCTCCTAGACTGGTTTATTTGCTCACAGAAAACATGATAAATTGGAGAAAAATTAAAAAGCTACCAGGCTCTTCCACCCAGTGCTTATCTGGTAGTAAAAGACATCCTGTCTTTTCCCACACTTTTTTTTTTTTTTTCTCATTTCAGGGCATGAAAAAAACACTTTTGTTTTAAATAAACAAATAGACCTAACTGGAAGGGGGAAAAAAAATAAAAACAGAAGTCCACTGCCTGATTCAATATTGTCTTTTGAGATCTCTGTAATATCCATAATATTCTTTTCTAAGTTTCCATATATGTGTACAGGTTATGCTTCCAGTTAATATATGAACACTATTATTCTTTTGATGACTACTAGACAACAGCAATGAACAATAACAATAAACACAGGCCTTTGCATTTTTGCCCAGGACACTTATTTAACTCTATTTTCATGGGTACCAGTAACATTGTTTATCTATTATGACAGGAACTTCAGTGTTGTACCTTGATTTTAAAAGAACTTTACATAAGTGTGCTCCGCAGGATCATGTATGCAGTGTTTCTCCCTAAAGAAGCCCATTACAGACTCAGGACCCA